AATAAAGATCTAAAACAATTAAAAAAGGTATAAATGTTTTTTTTCTCTCGAATCCACAAACACGTGGCAAATATCATTAACAATTTGCGGTTGACACAAATACAGCCGTTTGGATGGATGGGTGGCTAATAAAAAAAAATATTTTAAAATTACAGTGTAACGAATTCGCTAAATACATTATCCATGTTTACAAAAAAAAATCCCAATTCAATCCATTGCTTTGTCCAGAACATACACTGTATGTGTGCTTAATTGCTAAAAGTTGAGGCACACACGTTCAGATTTAACGCAACACGTTTTTGTAGTATGTTTGGTTTTTTTTATCTCCACACCCATGCATTTGACTTGGGCTTCAAAAGTTAAATCCGCATTGCCAGACATCAAAATAAACGCGTAGAATAAGGCCACGGTATACAAACTCTGGTGAAGATTACAATTCATTCGTATTCTAAACAAATCGTAATTAAAAAACTAAATGTAACCAACGCTCCCACACTGAGCCCCCATAGCGCATCGCGCCCTCTGCCGGCTGAATAACGAGTAATGCTGATTTAAAGCTTTCGTGACTGCAGGGATTCATCTTCTTGGTTCTTTCGGTAAAGTCACGTAGAAGGGAAATAATAAAATAATAAAAATAAAACATTACAAAATAATAGTGAGAATTATTTTATTATGTTTTATCTTTTTATTTTAATATTTCCCTTCTACGTGACTTTACCGAAAGAACCAAGAAAATGAGTAATGCCTCAAATCTATGGATGGAGCCTGCGGATAATTCGTGGAGAAACACCACCCACACCTCCCCCCCGCTTTTGTCGTTAAATATACCGTACGTCGAACTTCTTTCGCGAGTGAAGGACAACTAACTAAACACAATAAAGCAGTTCTCAAGAAATGAGTTTTTCAATCTCGATTATTTGAAAGCCCACAGCTCCAGGGAGCTTCGTAATATCGGAAAGAAGAGAGCGTTCCAGACAGCCGCCGAAGCGCATCTGAAAGCGCCGCGCGATGCAGTGACCACCGTCTTTGTTTGATGGTTAAATTCATAAGCCATTGATATTATCGCTAAGCCCCTTTCATTGAATACAAATATTCGTCACGATAAAGACAAAACGATGCTGACGCTGCTGCTGCTGCTTTGGCAGTAATGCACAGGCCCGATTAACAACACAAATCAGCACACTCGTCAACACCAACGAGTGTGTGGGTCCTGAAAAGAATGAATATAATAATCGGCGACGTTTCGGGCAATGGCCCGTATTCATAGCACATGGAGAAGCCCGAGAGATCGAGTGGATTGAAGGAGTTGGGAGACTGCACCATCGGGCCTGATAAAGATACTTTTTTTTGTACAAATTTCTGAAGGCCAATTTTTAAATAGCCATACACGCTCAGTTACCTACAAAGACCGCATTGAGTCACGTCGCTCCCCAATGTGAACGAGTTCCCAGCGCGTGCGTGTATGCACCGTAAGCGTTTCGTGGAGCGAAACGTCGGACAACGTGGAACGACGCGAAGGCGCAGTCGGGGAGAGCCGTGTTCACGGCACGGTCGCGAAAACCTTCGTTTGGCAACAAGTGGCAAAATACCAACAACTTCAATTTCAACTTGTACCCCCCCCCCCCCCCCCCACTTCGTTTCAGCAGTTTTACGTAAACTTCAACAATACGTCCTGTACAGCGTGGTCCAGATGTCTTGTGACCACCAATTGAGTCGTAGAAAAAATCATTTCCATATTAATTAATATTTTAAATGAACCAATCTCTTTAAATATTAAGTTTCAAATAATTATATTGGTGGGGGGAGGGGGGGTCGTGCGCATTTACATTCACCATGGCTGAACTCACCTCCACGCCCGTTGGTTCCCAGAAATAATCCTTCGGCGCATTCTCCACCTGCTGCAGTTACCTTCATTGTCTCCACCGCGGTGCCAATGCCAACCCCGCTGTGCGTGGGTGATGTGTCGTGGGGGCGACAGTCAACGCCCAGAGCGCACCCCCCACTCTCCAAATCTCAGAGACGTCACCCCAAGTGGAAAGTTCGCCAAAATTCGCCCAACTACGGGCGCGTTTTTAAACAAAACGCGACCTGGCTCGTGGTGCACGTTACTTCGTGCGCGGAGTCAATAGCTGCTGCCTCCTAGCCTCGGCTTGTTTTGTTTTGGATTGAGGCCATCGTTCTGGTGTGTTGCTTGTGTATCCTCCCGATTTCGTTTAGCCCCCGATCCTCGAAACGTGCCAGCGATTAAACTCTTCCAATCATGACAATTATTATAAATTTCTCACACAGGCGGATGGTAAAGCTACTGGGGCAAAAAGCGAAAAACCCCAATATCTGGCAGCGATCTCTGTAGCTTTGTAAAATACAAAGCGGGGTGGGTGGTGGGTAAGAGTTTACGCAGTGATTCCGAATGCAGTGGGGCAGACGAGCAGCATGGATGAACGAACGCTTGCTGAAGCAAAAGCGAGTCTGGCAAGTTTGTCTGCTTCTCTCCAGGCCGGCCACGTGCGTGTCACAGCGTGCAGGCGACGATCGCCACGTCGCACGTTCGTACAGCCCAGCGGAGTGCGGCGGCTCAACTCAATATCGAGTCGCTTGTTCATCATCGTCGTCGTCGCCGCCGTCGTCAACAGAAATACGGCGGCCGATAAAGCAACGTGTGGCATTGATACAAAACAAACATGTTTTTAAATCCTTTATGTTAAGTTCGCTTGCTTGCTTGCTTAGGACCGTGCAAATCTTTCGGTCGTTTTTTAACCCACTTCCCGTGATCCAATCGAGCTGACATTTTGCACACAGACTCGTTGTGCGAGACAATTAATGTTCGTGAAAAAATGTTTCCAAAATTTTACACTGTTTAGGGAAAACAAATTAAATATTTAATTACCAATTGCTTAATACTGGCAGCCAATCATCTGACCCATAGGTGGCAGCCATCTCAAGCCAGAGGACGAGAGGACTCTAGCCGCCACGCATATAAAGGATTTATAGTGAAAAACTTTGTTTTTACGGGTTATACTTATTTAAATCCTTTATATTAAGTTTACTTGCTTGCTTGTGAAGTACCGGTGAGGACGCTTGACACCGAGGTTGAGGCACGTGTATTTATTTTACAAGTCGTCACGACAGGACAGCACTGGAGGGGGTATCGGCCCCCTCACCCGTATAACTGGGGATACACACCTAGCTATCCCTGACCTACCCCCGAGTCCTCCACTAACGGGCTAGGGGAGGCTGTCTGGCCCGACACTGGTGAGTCGGGCTACGGTACCCGGAGTCCCAGAGTGCTGACTGGTTCACGGGACCACGCCGCTGGCTCGGTCCTGCGCGGCCCTGACAAGGGCGGCGTCTCAGGGGAGTCCAGGGCTCTAGCTACCCGGGTCTTCAGTCTTCCCTTCTTCGTTCTAATACTGAGCCCCGAGCTCTCTCTGTCATCCCCTTTTATACCCCCTCCCGGATCACAACCGCCGGGCAGCCCGATGCGGACGTCGTTGCGGGCACCCCCCCCCCGTTTACTCCCGGAGCTCCGCCCACTGTGTTTGTTCGCCGTTTGCTCCTATGTACAAACAGCCCCTTTATAACAGCCCTACACTTGCTTAGGACCGTGCAAATCTTTCGGTCGTTTTTTAACCCACTTCCCGTGATCCAATCGAGCCAACATTTTCCACACAGACTCGTTGTGCGAGACAATTAATGTTCGTGAAAAAATTTTTCCAAAATTTTACACTGTTTAGGGAAAAAAAAAAATATTTAATTACCAATTGCTTAATGGTGCAATGCAATCATCTGACCCATAGGTGGCAGCCATCTCAAGCCAGAGGACGAGAGGACTCTAGCCGCCACGCATATAAAGGATTTATAGTTAAAAACTTTGTTTTTACGGGTTATACTTGTTTTGTATCAACGCCTCTCGTGAAATGTAGAAACGCGACGTCTTCAATCACTTCGCGTTCTTCGGTTAACTTTTATCGTTTCTTTTTCTTCTCGTTTTGTGTTGAGGTTCACAAAGAGGGGGGAGGGGTTGGGAAGGAATCCCTTCGTATTCATTGGGAATGCTTTAATTGAGCAGTGGATTGACCATGGATGCATAGGTGGAGTTTGACTTCTATATTTGGGGGAGCGGGGGGGGGTGCAGTGGTTCGCTTTGTCCCTCATTTGGAATCGCGGGGTGCATATAATTATAATTTTTTCTCAATTGTAAACTCGTGAAATTACATTTATAAAGATTCACAGTTTAACACGTAGGCTTTGGCCACCAATATTATCCAAGAGGTTTTTTTGGGTTAGATCGCGTAAATATAGATGTGTCGTTCAAACCGCCACCACCCTACACAGACACTGAGTAAGGTTTGTCACGTAAATAAAAAGTGCCAATTCGTGGCTAGTACAGCACACCCGTGGTGTGGGAGACAAAACCAACCAACATTTACAATTCGAGTACGACGTTTCGCCAGTAATTACAACCAGCATCATCAGGCGACAGCCAGAGTTGTGGTGGAAATGCTCCTCTTGTTTCGGTCTTAAATAATTAATGGGATTCGTGTGATGTCGTCACTTGTGAGCCAATTAGGTGCGAAGGCCAGAGTGGGGGGGGGGGGGGGGTAATGTAGTCATATAAATTACAATAGATATCCATTACCGGTAGCGTTATTCCAGTTTGGGCAGGGCCCTATGGGAAGAGCCTTCCCACAATGGATGATGATGATGTGTGGGACAGCCATGTATGGGATTGCGAGCGGCTCGCAATCATAAAGTCTAAACCCTTTGGTGGTTGACTTCAGCATCATCATCACGTCTCTGTGGGGCTGATACAATGAGTAACCAACATTGTGGGGGACGTCCACAAGTGATTTCCCTACGGATAGATTCGCTCCCAGCACAGGAACGTGGAATTTCCACCACGGGTTGAGGGCTGTTTAGACCGAAGCACGGCCCCCCTCAATGTTCATTTGAGAAAGACTTCGACTCGACTCGGCTATCGGTAGCAAGCCATTCCACGTTTTAAATGTTTATTTACAGAAAAAAGAGTTTCACAAGAACTTTGTTTCGTCCACGTTTTACTATTTCAAACCAAAAAGGAAATAAATACCGTCTACAATCCCATAACCGTTCCCTTCTTCCCCGCAAATCAATATTTCAGTTGTAGAACAGGCTCAAGACTGCACGTAAACAGTAATTACAAGCGGTGTAATCACGACGCATCAATTCACCTATTAATATCGATTCTTAAGTTGGCAATAAACAAGCATTGAATTCAGTTTCAGCATGAATCATATACGGTGCAACGGGTCACACATACCCTGCAGACAATAGTGGCTGCAGTTTTCAGCACGCATTTGAAGCGTCTATTCTTCCCTGAAATTGTAACAAGTCATCGAGTTGCCAGCGCCGTTAATCCTCACATCCCCGATAATATACCTCGAGACGATGCACGGTTCAATAAGAGTTCGAGAGCACGCGTCTATTTCAACTGACAGGCAAGTCCAGCAGCAAGCTCTCCCATCGACTCCTCGCTTATCGTGACGTTGAAAACGTCACCGTTTGACGCGGCGATCAAATAAGACAAGCCGCTGGTGGTGGTGAGCATTCGTCAATGATAAAACGCTGCAATGTTCCAATCGGCAACGTGAGTTGGAGGAGTTAACATAGTCCCACCTCGGCTCTTTCAGTCTCAGGTGATAACACGTGCCATTGTGGACTATTTGTGAACCACGTAAAAAAATAAACCGCCGTAAGTCTGTGCTCCTTCAACAAAGCAGTAGCAAAACGACACGAACTCTAACCCCGAAAGCCCTCTCGTGGACAGCCGACCTTGACATTGGCCATTTAATTCCTGAACAATATTGTCACGTGCAAGAATAGGAGTGATCAGCGGAGCACAAGTTCCGTGTGCGCTGGTCGTGTCGATGGAGATGCTGCACCAGTGGAGGATTTCACCAAACCAGTTTCCTGCAAAGCTGCCAATTTGCTGCGAGCACCAGTCTCCTGGAGAAAGCGCCAACGATGACTCAAGAGCGCCTCGCAATTTCTAAATTAATCCACCTGCACGCGTGGAAACCCGTGGAGGAGGACTCCGTTGCCTCGGGACTTCTTTGCGGGCGCTGTACAGACAGAGCCGATGGGGGGGGGGGGGGGGGTCGTCAAGGACGAACAACTTGGAAGGTGGCACACAGGGAGGGCCCCGTGGGGAGCAGGCTCAGTGATCCAGCGTGTTCAACAACAGCAACAACAGCAACAACCGTCATTCGCCACTGAGTGGTGGTGACGTGTCCAGGCTAAGTGCACTTTAAGGCCACATTAAGTGTCCAACGCCCGCTGGCAGGAGGTCACGGGACAGACCCAGGTGCCATGGGTCGACTGACTGAAATGACTGGCCGATGCACCACCTGTGCCCCCTATTGTGCCAACTTGCTGTGTTTTAGCCACCCGGCGCTCTGCTTGTTGTTGTGAGTGTCGCTCCTCTGCCCTCCGTTGTTGCTGTAGGGCGACTGCCTACAACTACCCAGTAGCATCCTTCACGAGCCTCCTCCACATAGGTCGACCTTGACATCGGCTGGTAACCAGTCATCATCAGCAAGTCCACTCAGCTCCACATCCTTTTGTACCACATCACTCCATCTCTTCTCTAGCCCGAGCCGCATCTGTTTAGCCCCCTTCTATCCGGCCGAACAAAAGTTGGCAAGAGTATTCACACACCCACACAGACGCTGCTGTTGCGTCTCTGGAGAGCGGTGTCGTGGGCTGAAAAAATAAAACGGCCGTGCTCATCATCATTGTCATCCTTCGATCTGCGCACACGCTGAAACTGCGACTACTTCTGCGGGAAATGTTACAAACGCGCAAATATGGGCACGATGTAGCTCCAGTGTTTGTCGCAATGCTAGGGTTGTGATATTAACAGGTAGGCTTCCGTCGACCAATGTCATACATGATATAGTTTTTTTTTGGGTTAGATCGCATAAATATAAATGTTGTTAAACCCGCCACCACCAGAGACAGCCAATTTAGTAAGGTTTGTCACGTAAGGAGAACAGGGTTGTGTTTATAGGGGTGTGATTGCAATTAATGTAGTGGTCACGCATGCCTAGTATTGCCGACCCGTCTTGGTTTTCCTAGGCTTGTCTTCTTTTTTTTATCAGTTGCAGGATAACGACTCAAGGCAATTCATGCACATACAGTTCTCCCATATTCTGGCATCGAGATTTTCTTCTTCCCATGATGTGTCCCCTGGTTTTGTGTAACTCAGAGCTGGAAACTCTACCAATGTCAGAAGGCATGACGGGGAAGCCCATTACGCACAACATTTACAAATCTAAAACATCAATTCTTGCACGAATCGAGACATGTATCGTCAGCTTGAGAATCGATAATCGTCGATCAACGTTTCATTAAAGTCACGACTCTAGCGCAACGGCAGAAGACACGTGAATTGTCATCCTCTCGCGCACGAAACATAACGCAAGCCATCGCAACTCAGTCTCTGGCTCCATACGCAACGCACGACACAAAGCCTCAAGGCCTTTAGCAGTTTGGATGCAAAAAAATAAAATAAAAAGTCTGGGGGAGGGGGGTGGGGATTGTCGCACGCCACGTTCCACCTTCTGACAGCTCAACCAAATTTACCAAATTGCTCGCGACGTGACAAACACGCCCCGCCGATTCAACACCAATTGGAAACGTGTCGGGGAGTCCTGGGCTAGACCGAAGCTTGCGCTACGGTAATCGAGCGCCGATCAGGTAAATGCGCATGTCGCAGAGGGCCGTCTTCTGAGCGTGCCGACGACGCGCAGAAAATTGCGGCCGCGAATTGCGCGGGGCGTCGTCCATTCATTAAGCTACTCGTTAAATGCACGGGGTGAGCCATGCAGTCAACACGAGGATGAATGCCCCGCTTCACAAGCTAATAAAAGATAACCTTGGAGACAGACATGGCTAATGAAGAATGCTTTGCTCTTTTTAAAGCAAATGCAGTTGTCCAAAACGCCGACAAATTGCTTTCTTGGTGTGCAACGTAACGTAGGCTTTTGTTGTTTTTTTTTTCCCTCGCGATCTCTTACGACTTTCATTCCCATCACGTTTCGTTTCTTTACGACATTACGGGCGGCGAATCAGGACGACGGTTGCGCTCGCCCGATTTCAAGCGCAGTTCTTCTCCGAACTGCTCTACAATTCCGATAAACGCGTGCCGCCCTGTGTTGAGCCACGTGTAGAGTGGTGCTTGATAAACCACCATAGATGATGGCACTTTTGCAGAAATGGTTTTAATACTTTTGAGGGTTTTTTTGTTGCTTTTAAGAATAAACAAACCCAAGTGACACAAGTGATTGCACGCTACTCCATTAAAACCAAAATGTCATCCAAAACAGCTCAATTTCTCGGATGAAGCAATGTTGCGGCGGTTAGTGCACTAACACTATGAACCCGGAATACCTGAGTTTGATTCCCAGCCACCGCACCTCCGATTAGCACGGTTGGCTATGTGAAAGAAGTTCACCATTCATACATACATATTCAAACCGACCCTGGCCACCAATCAGCACCAACCCACCCTCCCCACTCTTCCCTCATCCACAACGACCGGTCGAACAGGCCCCATGACTGGCACTGCGTGGTAAAAAATCATCTTGGTTCTAATCAGTAGTCGACATCTCCAATATTTTGCAGTGTCAGTCAGAGTAACAGCCGCAGTCCAACCACCTCCAGTTGTCTGGCAGAGCCAAAGGTTGAGAGGTTAAAATTCCCACGCATCCATCCATCGCAGGCCGGCCATATCGCTGCTGGGATCCGTTGAGTAAGGCCCCGTCATCCCGTACGAAAGTGGGTGGAAGAGGTAAAAACTGCAGAAGCAAATATATACACGTACATTAGAAAACATGAATGCACATTTCATCGCATTTGAGTGAGTTTTTCACCATCCTGGAGCCAGCAGGCACATTCTGGAAGGACATTGAGCACTGCAATGTCAATAAGGCATAATGCCACCCTAAGTAACACCTTCCATAGCACCTTCAGTAACACAAAGTAGCAGAGTAATTAAATCCCTGCTGCGCTCCACTGCCTTTGATGAAAACAAACCCATCACCATTCACAACAACTGTCAGGCGAGGTCAGTTATAATGAGCCACTTAAAGGACCAATGCTGCTCAATTAATGTGGGGAAATGAACAAAGGAAAGAAAATCGCTAACACTTACCGCACTTAAAATACAATGGACAAACTTAATTCCCCAACGTATAAAACGCACACGAGGCATGCGTCGGTTGGCAGAAAACACCGCATCGATTGGCCTCGGTGTACGACCAATTTCACCCCGACGGCGTTTCTGAACGTCCCCCGCTAAACGCTCTCGCCACGCTGGCCGACCGCCCTGCTGGAGAGAAGCCAGGAGTCGGAGCTAAGTGGCCAGGTGAGCGGACAGGTGATCTTACAGGTGAGCGGGCAGGTGAGCGGACAGGTGATCTTACAGGTGAGCGGTCAGGTGAGCGGACAGGTGAGCGGGCAGGTGAGCGGGCAGGTGAGCGGGCAGGTGATCTTACAGGTGAGCGGACAGGTGAGCGGACAGGTGAGCAAACAGGTGAGCGGACAGGTGAGCAAACAGGTGAGCGGGCAGGTGAGCGAACAGGTGAGCGGACAGTTGAGCGGACAGGTGAGCGGGCAGGTGAGCGGGCAGGTGAGCGGGCAGCAGGTGAGCGGGCGGTCGAGGCGCGTGCAGAAGCACATGGTTTTGCGGCAACATGGCGACCACTGCGGTTCGCTACGGTATATCGTACGATGTAAAATCCACGATAATCGTACATAAAATAAACTATTTTTATGTATAAACTATTTTTGCAGGAAATAAGAGGTCACTACATTTACTACAAAGGTTATGGACACTATCAGTTATGAATTCGAATCGTTACCCTGATCGTTAACAATTCTTCACAACTCTGGGAGAATTCATTGTTATACTCCTGCCACGTATCGACTAGAGATTAACAATACATTTTTGGAACAAAACAAAAAAATAATCTAACTTGCTTCCAAAAAATCCTACCCCTTGTTGCACTCAATTTTTACCAGGTAAGGCCCACTGAGCTCATATTTTAGAAGCAACCTGGCCACAAATGACAGCTCGGCAAAGTGGCTTATCACGTGGAAATTTCTAAGCAGCCAAATGCTCAGAAGGCATGTTTTTAAATGTGGAGGGAAAAACCGAAAGACCCGAAGAAGAATCCACGCAACCACGGGGAGGACATGCAAACTCCAAATATACAAGAGGCATCAGGGTCAGGGGATCCTCCATTTATAAGAATACTGTCATATCACGATTATTGCTGGCAGTTTAATTTACTTGAAATGTTTTATCTCCATAAATAAATTATCAAATAAATAGCTGTTATCTATTAAAGTGATACGTGATACTTTGCACAAAAACATCTTAGAGTGATAGACAGCATGGAGTTTATATGATGTCAACATTTTCTTTCATTATTTTTTTTTCGGTTTGGCGGCATAACCCAAAAATCAATTCGGTCATAATATTGGCTGCGAAAACCAATGTGATCATTTGATTTGTGAATTTAATTATTTAATTGGTGTTGGCGGAACTGAGAGCATGTGCATTAAAGGCGATAGAGAATGTATTGATTTGCAAGGCAGGCCGATTCTGAGTGAATTACAATTCAAGAACGTTCAGACAATCTTTAGGTGTGTTGGGAGTACAGCAAACCATACTATACAAGTAAAAACGTACAATCCGATTAAAAAGTGATGCGTTATTGATATATCGATAAATGTCATGTCGATAAAAATTGATATCGCATCCTGAAATATGAGTTTGCGGCAACTTTTTTAAAATCCTTTATATTAAGTTCACGTGCTTGCTTGCTTGCGCGCTTACGACCGTGCAAATCTTTTGGTCGTTTTTTAACCCACTTCCCGTGATCCAATCGAGCTGACATTTTGCACACATACTCGTTGTGCGTGACAATGTATTTTCGTGAAAATTTTTTCCAAAATTTTACACTTTTTAGGAAATTTTTTTTATATTTAATTACCAATTGCTTAATGGTCGCAGGCATTCATCAGACCCATAGGTGGCAGCCATCTCAAGCCAGAGGACGAGAGGACTCTAGCCGCCACGCATATAAAGGATTTATAGTGAAAAACTTTGTTTTTACGGGTTAATTTTTTTCCGTTTAGTTTGTTGTCCTTCCCCTTTAGCACGATTGGCTACGTACGACGTGAAAGAAGTTCAACATACAGACACACACACATACACACAACTGGAGCGGCACCTGTACACGCAGAGGAGCAGCATCAGCGCCGTCCCGGCCGTGTGCAACCTCTCCCCGGCACGGCCCTGCAGAAGGAGGCCCACCCAGCGCAGAGCGGCGTCCCACGTGGCCGCTACCAGCACACGCAGAGAGGCGCGCAGAGACACGGAGACGTGAGCGCGCACGGAGAGAGATAAGACAGCAAGATACAAAGAGACGTGAAGACGCATGACAACACAGAGAGACACACAAGAGACAAATTACACAGACACAACAGAGACCCGAAAAAAAACAGACACACACACGAAGTGACACAGAGACAATACGAGACGCAAGAGAGATTCACAGAGACACAAAAAGGGACACAAAGAGACGCACTCAGACACAACCTGGCAAAACTTTGCCTGAACAAAAAAATATAAGACAATCACAACCAATGGAAAGCTGTCGATTTGTACAAACACCTCGCCCGCTGCGCTACCTGTGAGCATGCTGCTGTACATCATTGCCGGGAAGTAGTGGTGGAAGTAGAGGACGCGACCCATCGTGAAGAACGGCAGGTAGTGCAGCATCCAGCCCAGGAAAAACCAGAACCCGCCGTCCATAAACTCTGGGGTGCGGGCTGGGTGAGGGGAAATATTTACAAAATGTGAAACGCATCTTGGCCCTGACGTGTAGGCTTTCATAGGTAATACAGTAAAACCTTGGATTGCGAGCATAATTCGTTCCGGAAACGTGTTTGTAATCCAAAGCACTCGTACATCAGTTGTGATCACGTGATGCTCGGCAGACAAGGCGTATACACGTACTACTCGTATTGCAAGAACTCGCTCGTTTATCAAATTAATATTTATTTAAAAAATGTGCTCGTCTTGCAAAACACTAACAGACCAAGTTACTCGCAATCCAAGGTTTTACTGTACTATGAATGGCGCGTGCCAGCCAAATTTCTTCACGAGCACAAATAACAAGTTCGACACGCGCTCGTCAATACCACGGCCACCACGAGAACATCGAACTTGAACCTCTTTCGCACCGTACATAGCCAACCGTGCTAATCGGAGGTGAGAAGAGAGGTCGTGACCTCAGAAAATAACTGGGGGGAGGTGCAAAGAATTTGTCGGTGACTTTCCACGGTTGCCGTCCAACTTGGGCTAGACAGAGCTCATCAGCTTCTTCCGTTTTAAGTCAAAAGTGTCTCTTGTTGACAAAGGCGAGGAAAGCAAGAAGGAGATGGGCAAGCCATGTGGAGTGGAATGAGGTGGGAACCATCATGACCAGTTTTTTTTAACACAGAGATACGAGTAAGCAGAGCAAGAAGTAGACTTGAAGCTTTCGTGACTGCAAGGAATCATATTCTTAGGTGTTTTCGGTAAAGTCACGTAGGTAAAACATCAAAATTAATAAAAATAATAAAATAAAATAAAGATGCCTCCGCAATGTCGTGATCTTTATTTTATTTTATTATTTTTATTAATTTTGATGTTTTACCTACGTGACTTTACCGAAAACACCTAAGAATACAGAGCAAGAAGGTTAAAACAGCAACGTGGAAACAGCATCAGTAAGAATGAGAGGAAAAGATGCATGATATGGCGACGTTTCAGGCAATGAGTCTTCTTCATAGCTGAGAATTCTTGCAATTTGTTCTTGTGCACCACCGCCTGCACCTCTGACGAGCACGGGTGGCTACGTACGGTGCGAAAGAAGTTCAAGATGCACACACACACCGCCAATCACACAAAATTATGGTTACATGTCTTCGCGGAGTCCTGTTGTAGCTTAGACAACAGTCGAAGCCGTGTCTTGTCTAACTGCTGTCTCGGCAACGTCGCATCAACCGGATGACGACACACACAAAGTAAGAATTAACACGCGTAGATATGCCGTAGGAAGATGAGCAAATGTGTAATTAAGTACCTTGTATGTATGTTGTATGTCGCCAACTGTGCTAATCGGAGTCTGTAGTAGTGTAGTGTATCGTAGTGTATAGTGTATGGTAGTGTAGTGTGTAGTGTATAGTAGTTTGTACGTATGATGAACTTCTTTCGCACCATACGTAGCCAACCGTGCTAATCGGAGTGTATAATCGTGCAGTGTATCGTACTGTACAGTACTGTATAGTGTAGTGTGTAATGTACAGTGGTTTCTATGTATGTTGGATTTCTTTTGCACCGTACATCACCAACTGTGCTAATTGGAGGTGCGGGAATCCAACTGTGTTTCTGAGAACTGTTGTCATAGACTAAGTGTCTAATTCTCAAGGTCTCCGTGGTCAATACAAGTTGTCCTCGTTTCACCAGAGGACAGGCAAGAGAGTAATAATGTACTGGTCCTCAGTTGCTTTGAGAATTCCTGCCCAATTTGTAAGAGAATGGAGGAGTGGAGGAGAAGCTGGCCAGCGTGGTCACAAGGCTCGCGGGAGGTCTGGGCACAAGCCACGCTGGCTCCGTTGTGTCGTTACCCAAAGTAAGAAGGGGCAGTCCGAGTGCACGCTCCGCCGTCACATCTCACCCTGAAGCTTGCTGGCCAGGGGGCATCGGCGACGGATCGCAAACCCCAAGAAGCAGAACATCACCAGAAACACAAAGAGGCTGCCCAGGTTCCACCACCAGATTACCTGACCACAACACAAAACCAGTGATCAATGAGCAAGCAAATAACACAGGTATATAAACAGGTATGTGATTATACCTGGAGGGCTATCGCAGTGCAGAAACAAAGCACAGTCGTACCGTTCCTTATATGCTCCCGGCCTTCCCAAACCCACACACCACACTGACCATCGTGGTGAAGCATGGTCAAATAACCGCCGTGACAGACACGGGTGTGGGGGGGAGCCCCTCATCCAGCAGTGTATTAAACAATGCCTGTACATGCAGATACACTGGTAAAAATGTAAAACCTGCATTTGATGCGTTAAGCAAGAAAACTGCAGATAAATTACGAATGCTCCATTCATCGGGTCACTGGACTGCATGCTGGATGTGCAAGTGTCTTATTATTATCATTCCAGCAATCCGTTTTTTTTAACAAAACCCCAAACGAGAACCGTGTGCAATTCTAACATGGACCAGTGTGCGCTGCTTTAATGGCAAATCTGGTCTTCGGAGTGTCTTATCTCTCAATTTGTGCCCAAATCCAGCATCCCTGGGCAACCACTCGCACCTTCAACGTCAGCCACATCGCGCGGCTCGGCCAATTTGTGATGCGTTTTCTAAGAACCGACACCCGCCGCTCTCAATTTACACTCCGATCTGCTCCTCACCTCTCGTCCCCTGGAGCTGAATGCCAAGCAGGACTGATAGTGAGTTAGTAATTGAACGGAATGCTGAACATTTTTACTTTCCTTCACGTCGTAATTGGTACATTGGTGCGAGGACAAAAGGTGACAAAATGCCACTCACCGGATTTCCCAATAAGTACACGCGGTAATCGGTCTCATTACTGCCCGAAAACCGCTGGCCCTGAAGAAAAAAAGTAATTCGATTTTCTGAGAACACGTGCGTGTGCATATGCGCATGCGTGTGTCCATACATACATGTGGGTGTGCGTGACACAGTTACATGAGACAATTAACTATTGATGTTCCAAACCGCAAAGAAAAATATGGCCGGCAAAAATCAACAATGATGAAAAATAAGAATTCGTTTTACCCTTTATGGCAAATAATTAGGTGTGAAGACGTTAAAACACCAAACAGATACCTTTTGCAAAGCATCAAGTCTGCATTAACCACACATACTTGTGACAAAACATGCAAAACAAACATGCTCTGATAATATATGCATTGTCTTTGGAACTGATTGGCCTACACCAGAGACAGCCAAAAAGTGAACAGCACAAAGACAATGCACTATCAGAGCATTTCTAGCGCGGATCGAGCAGTTATATCGATAGGACCTTTTCTAGCAGTATCAAGAATGGCGTTCTCTAGTCTGACACGAGTGAGACTAGGCCATAAAGAAGGCTGTCTCTGGTGTAGGCCAGGCCAATCAGTTTCAAAGACAATCCCATATATTATCATAGCATGTTTGTTTGCATGTTCACCACAAGTACGTGTGGTTAATGCAGACTTGATGCCTTGCATCAAGTCTGCATTAGGACATATAATCACCTGTTTGGACATATAATCACCTGTTTTATTGCCAAAAAGGGTAAAACCTATTCTTGCATTTCATCATTCTTGATATTGGCAAAAAAAGGTCCGAAAAAATCTAAAAGTTCTGTTGTAATGTGCATTTCATGAGTAGCGTGCAACTTATATAGAGACGAGTCAAAAGACGAATACATTGAGACGAATAGAACGAGTATATTTGTAAGCACATGTTACATTTAATCAGACTATCAACTCAGGCTCAGTGTGACGCACACATTGTGAAGCGGACCTAACTTTCAATAGGCTTCTGAAGAAATCATCTCCATAATTAATTGACTACCTTCAAAAAGCCGTACGGGATCAAAGGCAAACGGATGAATTATGGAATAAGGTTTGCTTAGGATTTCTAAAGCAATTGGATAGCAGATATCAATAAATATTAATGCTCGTAATTTATCAACATTTAATATAGAATTGATATAGTTCTAAAGTAAGATCTGGTGCAGATTTATATTCAAGTCAAGCGTAGGAGTGTAGGCCGAGACAGTCCGTAGCAGCATCAACCATCCGGCTCCAACCCTTAGCGGTCCCTCCTGGCTCTAGGCCCCAAAGTGAACTCCCTTCTTAGGGGCCCTCCTGGCAAAGCCGCAGTAGTCTATGTTCAGTCACAGTCATGTTAGTTTCATGCACTAGCACAATGTTTGCGAAGACATTTAAGAACGAAGGAGTTAAGTCATGCCCTCAATGATCCCTTGAGCATCTGCGTCTCGGCTCTTTAAAGTGAGACAGAAAGTACAAGAAACTTGAAAGCGCGAAGACGATGGCAACACCAAACACTGTGGGTTTGGCGATTCCACTAACCTTTAAGCCAGCCTCAGTCGTACTGAGACTTCTCATTACGAGTCTCTGTTGCTCTAGATAATGCTACCAAGCTAAGTGAACCGATCCAAAAACCCAGATATTCTCGTGACAAACTTGCACAAGAGGCCGTGCGACACGATGAGTCATGAACAGCCTGTCATTTGGTTTTAACGCGAGAGACTGGAAATTCAACTGGCTCAAGATCCAACACAAAGATGTCAAGATTTATACGACTTCATATGAAAGACACAAACAGGCAGCGGTCACGCACTGGCTAAAATACTGCCCTGTTAACCTGGTTCCCTAAGTGCGATTCCCAGCCATGGCTCACAATGGTGGCGAGTGATTCCTGAGCACCCCAACCCACACCCCCTCGTTTCACTAATCTGTGTCAGTCATGGCAGGTGGTCAAACCACCTCCCATGACTGACACAGCGTATAAAAGCCTGTAAATCCAGCAAAGGATTATTAAAAACATTGCTTCGTAGTTTGACAAAACCTTTTCACAGCAATGACAGCTGTGACAATAAAGTGTGCAACAAAGTGGCGTGGAACTGCAAGCCAAATGCACGGTTTATTTTTTTTCATATCGTAACTGACTTAATTATAACAACAACAACAACAACAAAAAACCACCTTCGATCTACATTTCCAAGTACCAGAGGTGGAACGGTGCAAGAGTGGTTAGCTCATTGCAACCCGACTTAAATTCCTGGCCACAGCCAACGCCAGTGTCAGTTTGACACGTCGGCTTTCGCGACCAATATTATTCATAATAAAAGGGTTTTTTGGTTTAGATCACGTAAGTATAAATGTGTCGGAAAGCCACCACCACCCGACACAGCCAATAAGTAAGGTTAGTCAAGTAAACAAAACATGCCAATTTGTTACTCGTTCAGCCAACCGGTGTGTTGGAGAGTAAATCCACAGCATTTAGAATTTGAGTACGTTTTCGCTGGTAATTACATCCAGCATCATCGGGCGATTTTGCCCAATGATGCTAGGTGTAAAATCGCCGATGATGCTGGATATAATTACCAAGGAAACATCGATCGAATCACGTCAATTCATCGAATCACGAGGGGAGCAAGACCGTCACACGTGTCAAAGAGAAATCAGCAATCAAGGTCCTACCCGGTAGTTGATGGGCCACTGCCACGGCTGTGAAGTCACTTCATTCTCCTTGGGTTTCAGCCCACTGTTGCTCTGCAAAAACCAAACCGGTAACATTTCACTACCATACCTGTAGAACCTCATTATTAAATCCTTTATATTAAGTTCGCTTGCTTGCTTGCTTGCGTGCTTGCTTGCTTGCTTACGATCGTGTAAATCTTTCGGTCGTTTTTTAACCCACTTTCCATGATCCAATCGAGTTGACATTTTCCACACAGACTCGTTGTGCGTGACAATTAATGTTCGTGAATTTTTTTTCCAAAATTTTACACTTTATAGGACAAAAATATTATATTTAATTACCAATTGTTTAATACTGCAGACAATCATCTGACCCATAGGTGGCAGCCATCTCAAGCCAGAGGACGAGAGGACTCTAGCCGCCACGCATATAAAGGATTTAGAGTGAAATACTTTGTTTTTACGGGTTATACTTATTTTTATCATGCTTATTAACCCAGGAAAGCCTCATTGAGTCTCAAGAAACATTTTCAGGACAGTCCTGGCAAGTTTTCACAGTAGTAGGGAGGGGGCAATGTTGCCAAGCATGATCCCAACTGAGTATATTGCATATAACTTTTAAGCATTGAGATGTTTTGCCAATACCAGTTACAATGGGTTTTTTTGGTTTGTTTAGCAATGGAAGGAAACCATAGATCCCAGAGAAAACCCGTGCAGAACAGGGGGGAGAACATACAAACCCCCAAACACGATAGGTGCCCGTGTTGGGAATCGAACCCAGGTGCTTATGACTGCGAGACACAAGTTTCACCATTATGCCACCCCTGTCACCTCATCGCAACAAGCCCTATGTTCATCCCATGAGATTCTCTGGATTAAAAATAGCGGTAAATATTTAGGGGAGGACAGTTGCTAGCTGGGACTTGCACTTCCCCATTATTTTATTTTTAGCATCACCCTTACATCCTGTCATGTGCACACACACACACACAGCCTGATCCATTTATAGACACCCCACTAGATGTCAAATGAGCACCTTTCTTCTGCAAGAAATGAATGAAAACCGTGGAATCGACGGCGCCACATCTTACTGAGGAGAGTGTCACAAGATGTAACACTCGTATTGAGATCGGTGGGACGCGTGTAGATGCTGAGAAATAAAATCCCATTTTCTCCGTAATTTCTTCACATAATTTTAGTGGGGTATTACTTAACCGTTATAGTCCTAGAGACAAAATTACCTCTGCCATGGGAATATGGAACGCCCACCACTATCTTGGCGCTGGTAACAGATAGGATAACCCTCAGTATGACTTTCTTGAGCAGATGAGAGTGGTGGGGCAGTAGTTTTCATAATGTCCTTTGAACCCGGTGTCCTGAGTTTGATTCTCAACCATGGCTAACATCAGCGGTGAGTGACATCTGAACTATTCCTGGACCCCCTCCCACCCACGCTGTCACGAACCGGCATTGATCAGCATGGTGGACTATGTCCAAACGGCCACAAAGACCAAACACAGCATGGGGAAAACGTCATCCAGCAGTGTATTGGCAAAAGATTAAAACCTATTTTGAGACAATTTTTTTATTTACTAAAATACAGCACTCTAGGAGTGTGTAAAAATACACCAATATTATTTAAGCTCACCACATATGCATCAAATTATCTGTGGAAGAATCCGATGTTTTTACACCCATATGTCGGATTTAACGGGTTCACGTGACCTCTGCAGGCAATAAGAGGTCACTACAATTACGACAAAGGTTATAAACACAATCGGTTATAAAATCGAATCGTGGCCCTGATCGTTGACAATTCATCGCAACTCTGGGAGAATTAATTGTTATACTCCTGCCACGTATCGACTAGACATTAACAATACATTTTTGAAACAAACAAAAAATAATCTAACTTGCTTCCCAAAAATCCTACCCCTTGTTGCACTCAATTTTTACCAGCTAAAATCCAATGAGCTTTCTAGCTCTTTTTCAGAAGCGACCTGGCCACAAACGATAGCTCAAGAAAGTGGGAATTTACAGCAGCCAAATACTAAAAACGCATGTTTCTAAATGTAGAGGGGAAAACCATGATGGGACCTGGAGAAAACCCCACGCAACCACGAGGAGAGACACACAAACTTCAAATATACAGGCATCAGGGTTGGGATCACACCAGGTGAGGGAGGGAACATCTTGCCACCACTCACCTGCGCCATAACGATGTGGGACTCGATAAAAACCTCCAGGAAGGACGACTTGAACACTTCAAAGCTGACGTTGGGCACTGCAAATGTGACAACGTTAAGTGCCATGCATGTATAACGTAAAGCGTTTCGTTTCACGGCCACAGATAAAGGTGAAATGCTTTCGTGGAAAGTTGCAGAGAAATGTATATTTATACTCTTAGGTTTTTTTTCGGTAAAGTCACGTAGGTAAAAAATAATTAAATTAAAATTAATAAAAGTAATAATAGAAATAAAATAATAGATCACGACGTTTCGGAGGCAACACAAGTCTCCGTCATCAGGTGGGACCGTCACAGCTAAATTGACTGTATCAAGTGAGGCAAAACATTTCAAGATACAAGTTCTTAAATACAAGTTAAGGGGGGAGGAGCTTATCTGAATGTGGTAGCCAATGAATGGAATGTATTGGGAGGGGGGGGGGCTAAAAGAGAACAACAAGTGCACATGCTAAGGGTGCACATGCTAAAGGTGCACATGCTAAGGGTGCACATGCTAGAAGAGAACGACAATGCACATGTTGTTTTGTATAAATGTATATTTATTTTTGTTAAAAGTTATTTAAGCTAATGAAGCAAATTAAACTGTACAAACGAGTCAAAACAATCCAGAAAACAGTTTTTTTTTGGGTTAGATCACGTAAATATATAAATGTGTCATTAACCCACCACCACCCAACACAGCCAATTAGTAAGGTTTGTCACGTTAACAGAACGTGGCCAATTCGTTACTAGTACAGCACAACGGTGTGTTGGACAGCAAAGCCACAACATTTACAATCCGAGTACGACGTTTCGCCAGTAATTACAACCAGATGAAGCTGGTTGTAATTACTGGAAAAACTTCGTACGCTGATTGTAAATGTTGTGGCTTTGCTCTCCAACACACTGGTGTGCTGTACTAGTAACGAATTGGCACGTTCTGTTTACGTGACAAACCTTACTAATTGGCTGTGTAGGGTGGTGGCGGGTTTAACAACACATTTATACATTTTACGCGATCTAACCAAAAAAACCTGTATTATGGATATTGGTCGCGAAAGCCTACGTGTTAAACTGAGACAAAACAATATTAGAAAAATACAAACAGGATGATTCATTAAAATAAATTCATTCTAATATTAATCCCGAACATTAATACAATACCACTTGGATTTAAATATGATTGGATATAGCATCTAAATCCAACAGCATCTCAAGATGAGGTGTCCAAGTCAGCGCTACATCCGCTGACCATAATATTAAAACTATTAGACAGGCAGGCACAGAGAGATGAACAGATATCATCTATTCACATCGGTTTAATTTCTCAGGCGACAGAATCGAAGGAAGACGTTTTCCACATACGACTCAACGATTATGAATTTGAAGTTAATGCTTGCGACGTAAAAAAAACAGCTACCTACTTTTTTTTATCCCGGCATCATTGCATCAAAACTTACATTTGGGATGAATATGCTCCTCCACATTCCAGAGGACGTTCCCCGTGTCCTTCTTATACGGGTTACAGGTCACCTCCATCTGATCGTAGCCCCTTCAAAGACACCACATCACAAAGACAAAGATCCCCACATAGCCATAGCAGACTGTTGGGGCAAGTGCTCTTAGCGAGCACCTATGAAGGCACGGCACACGAGGGGATGGGTGGCCAGCACCACGCCCGGCCGCCTTTGTCTACTTAGTGGCGATTTTTACACATTGCACCAGGTATTCATTTGTGGCTGAGTCGACCTAGGGGAGACCCGGGACCAGTTCAGATAATCATCACTGGTGTTGGCCATGAGCGGGGTTCGTAAGCGCAGCATGCTAACCGTTGCACCACCGCCACCACAACACACAAAGATAAAGACAAAGATCCCCCGTATAGCCTTAACAGACTGTAGAGGTAAGTGCTGTTAGCGAGCACCTATGAAGGCCGGAACGGAACACGAACGAGGGGGTGGGTGGCCAGCACCACGCCCGACCGCCTTGGTCTCCCCAGTGGCGATGTTTATACACCGCACCAGGTACTCATTTAAGGCTGAGTCGACCTAGAGGAGGCCCAGGACCGGTTCAGATAATCGTCACTGGTGTTAGCTGTGAGCGGGAATTGAACCCGGGTCGCCGGGTTCGTAAGCGTAGCGTGCTAACCGTTGCACCACCGCCACCACAACACACACACACAAACAAACACACACGCAGCCCTGTCGCTAAAGCTTACTGACCCCCTTCAAGAGTGCACTCAACCGACCATTCAATCGCAACGGATGGATGAGACCACACCGTCACAAAGCAGGCAGCTTCCAGCACTCTGCATTTGCCAAAGAATCGATGAGGCACACAGCTGTAAAATTAATGGCGCAGATGCACGGGACTTTTGGAATAAATAAGAAGCAATGAAGCAGTTCCCTTTTTCTCTCCGTACCGTATTTCATTATCACTGTTCACTACGTTGCTGCTTTCTTCCTCTCCATTGAAAGAGACTAAAAAAAGCATTATCACCCCACCCCTTTCCTCAACATCCCTTAAGATTACGGGGTCGGCTCAGTCAGTCGGTGATACTCTTCACTTATTTTAGCTGAGAGCCCAGTGCGACTAAAAGTGTCTCTTTCGAGGTAAATCTGGGTTGCAAAGCAGACAGAATCCACAACATAATTCAGGGTCAAAATATTCAACAAAACAGAAATACATCGGGCACATCAACCCCCCAGTTGCCAAGCACCGACCCACAGGCCGAAATTACCAAGCAGCCTGCAACAAACAGCACGGATGAAGGCACGATCGTAAAACCGTTACTTGCTCCGAGCAAGGTTAACCGTAAGAGTTTGGGGGGGGGGGAGGGAAGAGATGACGGGAGGGAATTCCAAAGTGGGGCAGCGCGAGTGAAAAGAAGCAGAGGGGGGGAAGCATTGTAAATGTGAAGTTTTATAAATTTCAATTATTATGACTGTGGGAGGTGGGCACCCTGCGCCGTGGGAGGGAGGCTGGACAGGCCACTGCGCCCACCCCCGAACGCGGCTCTCACCACTTGGGCAGCGCCTTGGAGTGTGAGTGCAGCAGGCAGCCTGTGGAGACGTGCACCAGACGCATTCGGCTCCGCACCACCCCAAGCGCCTCCCCCGTCGCGCCGCCCACCACCTCCACGCGCCATAAGTCGTTGGAGTCCCCCGTGCCGTTCTGAGGCCGGCACAGGGACCACGTGCATCGTTGTTATTATTATTACGACTACTGCTCGGCTTGTTTACTCAGGAGAGACTCACGGAGTCCCCAAGAATCTTTTTTCGGGAGCGTCCTGCCTCCTGATGATGCGTTTTGCAGTCGGGGGCGACGTTGCGATGTAATAATCCCAAACGAGAGTTTTGCCGGTAATCATTTGTGTGTTTTTTTTCAGCTATGGGAGGAAATTGGAGCAACCGGAGGAAACTCGTGCAGAACAGGGCGAGAACGTACACACTCCACACAGAAAAGCACTCGAGTCAGGGATCGAACCCAGGGCCTCCCTGCTGCGAGGCGAAAGTGTTACCACTGCACCATGCTGCCATGCGCACACACACACAGATATACAGAGCTGTATACACACATATACACACATGTATACCCAACATGCAATGAAACAGATTTTCCCACAGACCCATGAACATACACACCCCACACACACATATATACAAGGACAAAGATCCCCCTATAGCCTTTAACTAACTATTGGGGCAAGTGCTGTTAGCGAGCACCTATGAAGGCCGGCACGGCACACGAGGGGGTGGGCTACCGCCCCCTTGTCTCCCCAGTGGCGACGTTTACACATTGCACCAGGTACTCCTGTGTGGCTGAGTTGGGCTAGTGGAGGCACGGGATCAGTTCAGATATTCGCCACTGTTATGGATCGTGAGCGGGAATCGAACTCAGGTCGACGGGTTTGTAGCGCAGCGTACTAACTGCTGCGCCACCGCCACACACACACACACAGGCAGGCGAACCGATGGGCCGCTCTGTAAATTCAGACTCTCACATGGCAACAAACATAAAACCGAGAACTATTTCCACGACAGATGTTGCTAGGGGCTTCGGGGACTCTCACAGGAATGGCGGTGTTTATTTTTATTCCATTATATTTGTTTGCATTCATTTACACTGACAGCCCGTTAAGATTTATTTTCAAGTTACCGTTGTTGCCCTTGTTCTGCATCATCGTTTTTAGGCATTCGATAACTGTGGACTTCCGATTGGTTACATTAACAACGAGTGAGTATGTTGGATGCATCCGAGACCGTAGATTATCCATCCCAGCTGGTGGACGAGAATATTTAAAAAGAGCTGCTCCTGTAGCAACAATGCCACTGGTACACAAAATATAAATCAGTTTTTATTCCTTTTAAAATAAGATTTTATACTCATTCAACGGTAATAATTTATTACGCATTCTAACTAAGGGTTGAAAGCGTTCATGCAGGAGCTCAGTCCATCCGTCTGTTCATGTGTATAAAGTGGAGGGTCACGATAACTCTCGTAAAGATGATACAATATTCGCGAACCTTCAGCATAAAGTTGCACCGATTAAAAAAGAAACGGTCAAATTTTATCAAAGGGATGCCACTTAAAAAAATATTATTTGTTGGCCAAGGCGATGACACATTATGTGACATCATCTCGTTGTGCAGCTTGGAATCTATTGTTATTTCTAATTTCAAATGCGTTACAGAATCCATGCATAGGCATTATTTTTAATCGTAATTTTCATCTTTGTACGAATGTTAGCAGAGTGCAAAAGGTCTGAATATTAATTTCGCCAAAATACGTTTCCACGTTCATAAAGATCGCCTCTGAATTTGTATGCATCGACAAACGCAGCATAATCATCGTGATGTTACGCAATGACTGGAAACAGAGACTCGCTGATTTAGTCAAATTGGAATATATCCTGATATTACCTAGGCCTTCGGAATTATCCGGCCACAATTTCAGAGAACTGGCTCAATCAGCTTCATCCACCAGCAGCTCGCCACTCTGACAAATCCAAGCATAGTCCGACACTCAACTCACTTGCAATTTCGTGAAAATAATGAAGCACAGCATGGAACTGACAACAAAATAGAATGCCCTAGCCAGATCTCGGCTGTTAATCTATTACGCTGCGATGAAATTACCAAAAATGTTCCAATTGCAAGTGGTTGAAGGGAAAACATCGAATGCGCGCAATTGCTTTTGCGTCTACACGCTGTTTATATATCTCCATTATCATCCATTACCGGTTACCGACGCAGGACGCTTCCAAGGTTATTCGGGGGGGTCATTGTAAACGTAACCAAAGCACGGGCCGAGCCGCAACAGCCATACCTCCCCGTAGCCGGTGACCTGCCAGTGCTTCGAGGAGAGGGGAGCGCGCTCCTTGTGACTGTGCAGGTTCCTCTTTGTTCTGATGGCGCAAACACAAACCCAACGTTCCTTGTTAGAGGTGCAGCAATTCACCACCCTTAGCTCCCCGATGCCCCCCCCCCCTCTGTCCGAACCCTCCACCGAGCCGTCACCACTGTCACGATTCAATTGTCACAACTGAAGATTACGCTGAATGCAAATGATTGAGAGACCAGGCATCAGCACCATTACCTTTTAATTAAAAAAACGCATGAACGTCGCGACACGTATGGATTAGAGATGGAACAGATTCCCCCAGCTACCCAGCAATTTGATGTATCGTCGCGATTCTTGGCTTCAAATTGACTCAAAAATTAGTTATCTTTTCCTTGTGGTGAATGGTAGTGGGCTCTAGTGGCTGGAGGGATCACGTGAACCCATTGCAATGTAACAGAGATGAATCGAAAATCGTCAATTCGTACACGCACGATTGGATGCATGTATCATGAGCTTAAGAATCGATATTAATTGATGAATCAATGGGTCATTATACCCCTATCCCTCGTGTACATTTTCCACTCCAGGAGGCTAGTGGCATCAGTGATACATCACAATGGCAATTTTTTAAGGACAGCTTTAAATTTGTGATAAAACCAAGTGCAGCTCAATATGGAATAAATGCCGCAGTTATATAACGCATGCATTTATAAATGTGGACTAACAGTTTAATCAAATTCACTTCTGTTCCGTATATCACAGCGCTATTGAAAATGATCGATGCCTTGGGTTTCCTGGCTGGGCTCCGTTCTCCCCAATAGTAACTCCTGAGTAGTTGTGTGACGTTGCCATGGAAACTAACTCGGTACCTGGCTAAATTGGGATTTCCCGTGGAAGAAATAAACATTGAATTATAACTGCGGAATAAGTTAATAGACGGCTACGATTAAAAGGGTGAGCGTAACAAATCCTGAAGACGGGCTACGGGGGACTTAACGCCAGAAACTCCAGCAGCTCTTCAATACAATTTCCCGTTTTTTTATCTCATCCTCCCTTGCTTTGCAGTATTATTATTTTAATCCTCATCATCACCATCGTCGTCTTCATTACGCCTGCGGCACATTCTGGCGCAACTCACGCGACGTGCTCCAGGCGGATGACGTCTCCATTCTGCACGAGTTCCGGGGGTTCGCTGTCACCTGCGAGGGCGATCGGCGCGGATATCACCCTCATTAGCGCGGCCACACGCACCCAGCCGACGACAGCTGCCACGCTCATTAAACATCACGAGTACCCCCTTCGAATAATTGATATCTCCCTTTTTACTTCAGGGACGCGACATTCAAATACTTTTTTTTCTCTCTCGAATAGCGCCGCGCGCTCTCGCTCGCTCTCTTACTCGGATTCCGGTCGTGCTTCTTGACGAGCCACATGTTGTTGTGGTCTTTGTGGGTGTAGGCGGTGATCTGTCGGGGATGACATCAAAGGATAGCATGACGTGAACAAACAAACCAAAAAGGCTCCTGTTTCTTCAAAGCTTCGAAGCGATGCTTTCCCGGGCTAATTTCGGTGATCCAACGCGTCTTTGTGCTTGGCGCACTTCGGTCCGCCCCCACTCCGGGCTTCCGTGCAATTTTGTTGCGAAATAACGAGACAAAAAAAGTGCATTTCCTGAAAGCAGAAATGTATGCCCTCCTATTAAATGCTGCCTATGTACTCTGCGCACTTGCAAGATTGAGTGATAAAGTAAAGGGAAATGCGCAGCCCTGCAATTACTTCCTCATGCTACCGTTGGTATAAAGGCCTTCACTGCAGGGAGCTCTAGAAGGCCCCTATAGAGGGTATTTCGCCTACTCTTCCACGATGGTCATACATCTTGGAAGATGTAGGTGTACCCATACTTTACCCCACCACACACAACCTGCCGATCGACTATATGCGGTGAACTTGCACAAATATCTCAACTGCCGCCCTGGAAGATCGAATCAAACTGCTATTGCAAGTTACACGATGGCAGTGGATGGAATAATAATAATAATGATGCCCTTTATATAACCAGGAAAGCCTCACTGAGTCTCAAGACTCTTTTTCAGGAGGGTCTTGCATTGTGCTGCTTGGCCAATTCCATTCATAAGTGTTTGGCATGCGGGAGGAAACCAGAGCACCCAGTGAATTCCTTGCAGCACCGCCCTCTCCTGACCACCTTGACTCGAACATACGAAACCTTCGTATTTCCAGGCAGTCTTCCATCTAGTTTCCAAGAGCTAACAACAGCGGGCACATTCAGGATGATTTGGTTCGATAAGAGCATCATCCCTTGATAAGAGCGTCATCGGATGATGGGATCATTTTGGCACTATGAAGAACAACTGCCGACTTGAGTCCTCGCCCCTCTGCATGCCCAGTAAAGCCTTAGTGTTCGCAGGGGATGCGTTCCTTGAGAACGGCACGAATATTACATCTGCGAATATTGATATTTAAAGCTTATGAACAAAATTGGTTTGGGGGGCATAAACAAAATGTGACGTTTACACAAAAACACATAAAGTGAAAATATCAATGAATAATTAAGAAAATATCCCACACTTGAACACGTGATAAATTAATGAAGATGCCCAGTTTAACACGTAGGCTTTCATGACCAATATTATCCATAATAGAAGTGTTTTTGGTCTAGATCGCGTAAATATAAATGTGTCGTTAAACCCACCACCACTACCCGACACAGCCAATTAGTAAGGTTTGTCACGTCAACAAAACATCCTAATTAGTTACTCGTTCAGCACACTGGTGTGTTGGAGAGTAAACCCACAACATTTACAATTCTAGTATGACGTTTTGCCGGTAATTACAAGCAGCCTCATCAGGCGACAGCCAGAATTGTGGACAAGTCCTGTTTCGGTCTTAAATAGGGGAGTGGGGGGGTAAATACGCAGTGTTATTTGAACTCACCTTCAATGGCGATGATCGTAAAGGAAAGTGCTCGTGTGTAAATGGGACGGCAGACAGAGGCGGACCGAGAGGGAGAGCAGCGTGGCGCGTTGGGGGGCATTTTCAAGATCCGCGACGCTCACACGCCTCACCACTTCTTGTCGGGCAGTTGAAAGCTTAATGGCGGCGAACATTTAAATTGCAACCAACGGCGAATTTCAAATCGCACGACGCGAAGAATGTATCGCGAGGACGCAAAAACCGCGATCGCAACATCCGCCAGTGTCGAGGGTTTACCGTGTTGCTAAATTGTTGTTGTCCACGGCACGGCGCAAAGCGTTGGTCACACTTTGCGTCTCAGTAATGAAATGGCAGATTTGCCGGTGGTAATCGAATGTCACGGATGCGAGCCACCGCCAGCCTTCAAGTGTCACGAGACATTTGTGACCCCAACGCGAGCGATGCTTAATGCCCTTGCTGAAAGCGCCGACGTGATGTCACCGGAACTGAATCGTGAATGTCGGTACCTGCTGCTGCTTGGCCCCCACGCCCTCAGGGTAGAGGTGCCAGTGTGAGTGCAGGTAGCCTCCCGCTGTCCGCACATTCTTCAGCGTCACCACCGATCCGTACGCGATGTCTGTTTGTGGACAAACACCACGTCGCGCGTCAGCGGGCGATCGAGCATTCAGGTCACTTGACAAACATGAACAGAAGAATATGAACAGAGTGGCCACGTGGTTCAGAGGTCTCGGAACCTAGCTGGCACCGCTGAGCTCCTGGGTTAATATCTGAGGTTTCGGCTGCACGTGATGATCACCTATTGCTTCACACACAAACAAAGATGTCGTATGAAATACATTTTTTGCGTGTAACTTGTAAAACTGTCAACTCTGAGAATGAAAACAATTTGATTTACTGCCATGTCACAAACATATAAATGACTGAGCACATGAGGAAATGCATTTCCTAGTCTCCTTGCTCGTCTTCGTATGGCCGATGTTGATGCGGAGCAACAACTATGATTTGAATCTTGATTTGAAGCTTTCGTGACTGCAGGAATCCATACTCTTTGGTTCTTTCGGTAAAGTCACGTAGGTAGAACAATTAAATAAAAACAATATATCAACGACGTTTCGATCGCAACACAAGCGATCGTCCTCAGGCGGAAAAAATAATCCAGCAGTAGAACTGCTGAACCAGGAAGAACACAGCGAGAGAGCTGCTACAACAAGACGTTATAGATGTTGGCCAAGGGCAAGCAGGCGGGGTCTGAGCTGGAAAGGAGTCCCATCCCCACACGCAAGCACATCAGTTGTGTTAATGGTGGAGATTAGGGAGAGAGAGATTTGGGAGAGAGTTAGCATGTCAAAGTAAATGAGCTTCCGTCTCCGCATAAGAGTACCGTCCCCGCATATGCGCACAGCAGCAGTGTTAATGGGAGATTAGCACTATGTTGCCGGGAAAGATTAGGCAGAGAGATTAGGGAGATTAGCAAGTTAATGTCATGTCGATGTGCCAGATAATTGCGCCAGGAATATGAAAGGTCACTTAAAAACTCAGATAGAACTCCGTGATATCCCCTTCTGTGGACCATTCTACGTGAGAGATTTTAGCGGATACTTGATCTCAAGACAAGATGTCAATAGCACAATTTGATCAATGTTCGTAAAAAAATATATAAACATTAACACAGCGCTTACAATGACGTACAAACTCCAAATAATACGGATGTATCGCTCCACAGTTTAATTGATTAATGTTGTAATTTACATGAACGATCAGGAAAGTAAAAATAAATTATTTTCAATTCATAAACATTAACAAGACCATAGATTCTATAGATTACCACGGTGGTAACTTCAGCAAACACAACGGCAACAAAAGAAGCAACGTGCGAATCGAATTAATAAACTATAGCAACTCGTAGAAACATGCTCCTACTGTTGTGGAGTGACTCATGCAGCCAGCTATGGCTGCATGAGTTTACGTCGTTAATTGTGAAAATTCGGTCACAGTTCCTATGACCACTGTTTCTTTGCTTTTATGGCTTTATTTGGGTGATAATCGAAAAGTTTTTTGCTTTGGCCATATTTGTTTGTTGTAGTACAGAGTTAGACTGATGGCCTTAATCTAAGTTGTCTTGCGGTTGTTGTTGTTTGACTTGCATCCCACTGGGATTTTTGCACACAGTGTTGGTGTACGGTGATTTTTCTGCAACATTTTGCTGTCTTTTCTTGGATTTTCTATTTGCACATAGTCACTTTAAGATGTATTCTTGTTCATGTTTTTGTTTTTTGCGGTTGCACCCGATTCAAGAGCCGAATGGCTCACAGGGCTACACCTAATAAATGAACTTGAACTTGAACTAAATTGCTACATGCAATGTGAATGTATGAACAGTCGATTTAAAATCAACATCGATCAGTTCTGTTCTCTTGGGCATGAATCGCTATTGTAGCTTTTTACCAAACAACAAAATCCTGCTAGTAGGAGGGGAACCCAATGTGTTACGTGAAATGTAATTTTAAACATGTCAAATAAACACAGGGAGTGAGGTAATTAAAGGATGACTGAATGGAAAAACTTCAAAGCTCTACATTATTTACTCTACCTCCTCCCCACGTCTGAGCCCACCATTAAACACACTACCACTGCATAACAACAAACAACATGAGATTTACATTTTGTTTTTTAGTCTTTCAGCCCACAGGCCGCGCAGCCCACGGACAATTATTTCTAGCAGCATTTGTCTACAGAGACAAACTCTGGACTAGTTTTGACCTTCTGGGTCTCATCAGCAGTACAATGCTTGTTAAACAGAGCTACTGGACTGTCAGGAGTTATTTGGCAGAGCACTCCATCTTAACAATGACACTTTGTTCAATCCAAAGAGTAATATTGCACAAAAAGTAGACGTTGATTTATTTTATGATTCACGATGCTCCACAGGAGTGCGTAATAAGGGTTTTGAAACAGTCGGGTTCTCCAAGCATATAATAAACGTACAGTCTTCCTCTAGCGAATGTCGCTTCGATGACTTGACTCGTTGGATAACACAGAAAATAGTTGGAGACGGTAGGCCTCACCCTGTGTTCTCACATGTGCCACTGGACAGGAGGTAATGGGCGGGGGGGCTTTGCGAGTTCGTCAGTATCGTCAGCTAGTTGTGCCTTGCTCAAGATTCCGTTTCCCGCCTTTCGCAGGCGGGACGTGGGGGTGGCCGGAATTTTTTAAAAGGGGCCTCAAGTAATCGACCACGGGAAATAAGTGGTCGATTACAGCTGCAAAGATCTTTTTCACACATCTCTAGTAGCAGCGGGTCAGAATGTTACAACAATACAAAAACACGACAGAAGTGCAAAGTATAGGAAAGGTGAGCAAATAACAAAAAATATATATTCCACGTAAAACTATTTTTATTTTACCAGGTAAAGCCCACTGACCTGGCCACAAATTACAATGCTTAGTAGACTATTCCACTTCATCGACCAATCATTCCAGCTCTAAACGCATCCTCATCTCTAGACGCTGTGCAGTACACCGTGAGCATATTCATTATACGTATAGAGGTTAGTCAGTTTACAGGCAGATGAAAAATAGCAAGGACTTGATCCGGGACTTGAACGAACACGGGCAGCGTTTTTTACACGAGGGCCAATCAAACGGCTCATGAGTCACATTCTCGGGGTCAAAATGCCCTGGACACTGGTATAGTGCAGACACCGTGAGCACAGCGATACAATTCCCATCAGTCGTACTTACACTCGGGCATGGACGCGTTGTACAGGCTGTTGCCCATCAGTCTCGCCTGGAAGCCGGAACTGAAGAAGCCGTCTCCAATTCCACTAAAACGCCAAGAAAGTGGCACAGAAACTGACAGTTGACTCGGTTATCAAGCAGGTGGCACAAACGTTTTGGCAAGTCAACCGATAACTTTAAAAGCAAGAACACATGAGTCATTCCACGTTCCCGACCCACATTATACACAGATAATGAATACGTATTTATTGCTTAATAATCCAAATGTATAGGTGTCGATACAAACAATACAAAGTGAGACTGGGAAAATGAAACAAATAACCAGCATTTTAAAATGTGTTTGTCATCTCCAAATCTCGGCAATTCATCGAATGGTGATAGAGTGAATCGGTGTGCACCGACTTGTCGCTGCACCGAGATTGGCAACAAGGAGCGAGTGAGCGCCGTACCCTCCCACTCCACCCTGTGGCCAGGGCTGGATTAACGCAAGGGCTTTCGTGGTTGCAGCCCAGGGCCTATGCCTTTAAGGCCCACCACCCATGTATATACACATATATTGCTTTCTAACGATTTAAATGCAGCAATGTAGCATTGTGATAAAAAAAACTTTAGTATCATTTGGTGATTAAAACCATAGCATCACTGTGCGTATTACTAACAATAGTGCAGCTAACATTAAACTAGTTTCGTTCGTTTATAGTCTTAATTAGTTGAACAATTTTTTTTGTACATCACTATTTAAAACTGCAAATTATATAAGCAAAATTAATAACGGTGAAGTGTTTGCAATCAGGCATGGATGAGTGGTAGTGGTAAAACAGTCAAATGAATTAACAGAGCTACGACACCTCTCTTGCCAGTCGGTATCTTGAATATCTTAACACCTGTATTTACGCCAGAAAGGGTAATAAAGCCCTTCATTTTGATCACCGGTTGAACCGAACATTTCAAAAAGGGGGCACCCAAACACCATAACACCCCCGGGATCCTATCGAACCGGATCTGGCCCGGCGTGTGCAACGAGAGGAAACAAAGTCACCACGGCTGCTATTATCGCCTAAAATTACACCTCATTCACAGTTAATCACAACAGAGTCGCGAGAGTCACACAGCCAAGGTGCCCTCCTCACCGACTGAGTCACCACTGCAGAAGTTCTGCAACACGCCCGCCAACACTAGCAGTGTTTTGCCACAAATATATGAATAATAAAACGTACTCATTTACAGACTCTTCATTCAATCGAATATTGAACGAAAGCCAAGCCGTGTCAGACACCCGCGGTAAATTACTCTGGAAAACGTTTTTACAAAGCACTAAGTAGATTGGTAATAGCTGTTTATTTATAACTGTGATTTACGGTTGTGAAATTACGACTTTAAACGTACATTTTCGCTTTTTACGTAAATATTTGGCAGAAAAAGTAAAATATTTAGAAGTGTAAATAACGAGCAACTGTAATCACCACGTGACGAAATTTAGCATAGCGGACGATAGATTCAGGGTGGACCTATACCGTCCGCTGCGTCATGGTATCGCCATATCGCAGCGATCCTAGTCTACACAAGCCAAATAAACGGGCCATTGGATGTACTTCGACTGTTTGGGAACGCGTCCCAGAGAGTTTGACACCTACATTTCTCTCAATCCCCAGCCAGCTCTCACCGGTCCTAACGACAGGAACCAACGTCTCCACAAGACAGCAGGCGGTTGCTAAGTGCGGTGCCAACGGGGCCAATTCGACAGGTCCGATGGTGAAAATTGAGAGGCAGACGCATCGGGGGTGGTGTTATTTTTGTTGTTGTTGCTGTTGTAGGGAAATTGACTTTATTTTAAGATCCACAGAGGTAAAAAGGTCCACGGAAAAGAAGAAGCACATTCGAGGCGCGGTCAAAAAAAATAAACGTGACTTCAGCACGGGTTACTGTTTTTTTTTTATTACACTAACAATTTGTAACAAGATACTAGTCATACTAAACTAGTCATATTACACCTCGATTCATATTTCTCCTGCCCCTGATAATTTCTTCACTGCACTCGTGTGCTACATTGTTTTAATAGACAGTTAATTTGGAGCCATTTTCCAATCCACTGCTGGATGAAGGCCTCTCCCATGGTCTTCACGATGTTCGTGAGTGCGAGTTGGTGAAGGGGCAGCCAAGGAATGGCCTCGATGTCACAAGCCACCGATGTGAACCGCGTCGCGTGAATCACTGTGCCACCCACTCCACGCTGCCTTGCATTGTGCCCACTCACCTTCGCGAAAGTACAGCGACGTGAGCAGCGAACGTCACAGTGTACAGCACCACCGGAAGGGCAATTAGGCAGCTCGCCCGCGCCACAAAGTGCCACCCGAATTCACTCTGCAAATAAAACATGACACGGTCCCGTTAAAGCCACGGTCCCGTTGGATTAAAGCTCACAAATAGCCGAAGGTAAAGCCCTGACAATGCATGCTCGCCCCGCTGCTCATGGAAGGGGCCTCGACCAAGATGGAGTTCGAGAGAACCCAACACGAGAGGGTCTTTTGGCCTACTCTTCCAAGCTGGTCAGACATCTCGAAAGAGGTTGGAGTACCGATCGACTTAACTGCGATGAACCAATTTATGCTGCTGGGTGGAAACAGACAAGGGGGATTTCATAACTTTGCCCATCAATTCAAATTCCATGCCAGGAGATGGAACTTAATCGGTCCGGTGCCCTAACCATTTTACCCCGGCGGAATCCTAAATACAACAAACACATTATTTTCTGTGCAAGAGAAAAAAACCGGCAGGAGCCGCGCACCGCTGCCTCCGTGTGAGGCGCGCACACGGTGAGCGTCTCCCGGTTTATTTCTGGGTCGTCCTGAGCAGAAACGGGAGAGGTGTTGAATTGGGTAGGGTGGAGGGCGGGCGGGTGGGGGGGACATTTCCAAACTAAAGACACCGACGATGATGACAAAGCTGCGAGGGGGAAATACCACGGGCAGGCGGAGGTCTCCCAGCAGCGCCCACAGCTCAGCCGCCGTGCGAAGGCCCACAAGGGTCACCACGAAGAGGCCCACGAACTTGACGCTCACCGCGCCGGCCAGGAACACGCCCGTGAAAGCGAGCCAGAGCCACCATCCGGCAGAGAAAGGCCTGCCGCGGCATCGGCAACACGGGAGAGAAGGAGAGCGGCGGTTAAATTCGTTCGCAGGCGCGTCGTGACTGCTGCACTGGCCTGTGCATTATATATTTTTTTGCGGTTGTATCGCAATAGCCTGCAGACACGTCGTCGGGTTGTCACTGCACGTTGGGTGGCACGAAGTCCAATTACGTGAATGGAAGGCAACGAACAAGAAGGAACGGACAAGGCGGCCAATACAAACGAGACGGTGCAAACGTGAGGGAAGAAGAAAAAAAGATAATTGATTTTTTTTTATCGAATCGCGTATCCCGAATCGCGACCATTCACCATCAGGTTGTGCGAGAGGATGAATCGATGCGTTTTCTAAACATCAGTGGCGAAGAAGGTTCCCAAACTCTTTGGTTTTTTCGGTAAAGTCACGTAGGTAGAAAATAAAATAAATCACGAGTTCCACTGCTGGATTACATTATTTCCGCCTGAGGACGACCGCTTGTGTTGCGATCGAAACTTCGCGATTTATTTTATCTGAGATAAGCACATTTTATAATCTTAGTTTTTTTCGGTAAAGTCACGTGGGTAAAACATTTTTATAAATTAAATCACGACGTTTCGGGCGCAACACAAGCATCCTTTTTCAGGTGGGGATAACTTAGCGAAAGCACAACCGCTTACACACTTAAGCGGTGTGCTTTCGCTAAGTTACACACTTAAGCGGTTGTGTTTTCGCTAACTTGTCCCCACCTGAAGGAGGATGCTTGTGTTGCGCCCGAAACGTCGTGATTTAATTTATTTAAAAAATTTACCTACGTGACTTTACCGAAAAAAACAAAGAGTATGAATCCTTGCAGTCACGAAAACTTCAAATCTAGAATTAACGTTCCCAAACGCCAACGAGCAAACGGGCGTTGCTCGCCTGTGTCTCGCCCACCGGCCATCATCCCGTCTGGTGACGTTTCCTGCCCTCACCCCAGCTATGGCTGCAGGGTTTTGGTAGTACATGTTGTTTATGCCATTTATTGTGAAAATTCCGTCACAGTTCCTATGCTTGCTTTTCATTGCTTTCATGGCTTTATTTTGGTGATTTCGAAAAGTGTATTGGTTTAGCCATGTTTGTTTGTTGTAGTACAGAGTTAGACTGATGGCCTTAATCTAAGTTGTCTTGTGGTTGTTGTTGTTGTTTGACTTGCATCCCACTGGGATTTTTGCACACAGCGTTGGTGTACGGTGATTTTTCTGCAATATTTTGCTGTCTTTTCTTGGATTTTCTGTTTGCACTTAGTCACATATTCACTTTAAGATGTTTTTTGTTCATGTTTTTGCTTTTTTGTTTGTTGCGGTTGCACCCGATTCAAGAGCCGAATGGCTCACAGGGCTATACCTAATAAATGAACTTGAACTTGTAACCTGCTGACCTGCCCATACTGGACATCTGTGAAAAAGAGCTGCATAGGGCTCATTGGATTCCTCCGGTCTAAATAGAGTTTCTGATTCTGAATTACTTTTCTTCAAGGTCAATTATGACATCCCTAAGCTGTGTCTGTTCTCTACTCCACTTGGAAACCCTCAGAGCAAACGTTTATAGGTGAGGCGTGCTACTCAAGGGATATTCAAATAAATGCTGGGATCCTGGTGGAAAAGCAGGATGCCCCACTAGGGTAAGGGATGACGGTGAATTAATAAAAGTTTTAACTTATTAACCCAACTGTAGATCAAACTACAGCAATTATTACAATTATTACAATTATCACACATCGTAAAAGTATTTTCCCAGTGTTCCCAAAAAAACATCTCAATTGTAAGAAATACTTGAAGCTTGACTTCAAGTATGTCTTACAAGCTTCAAGTATGTCATTCATCGCTTATTTTCAATTTATTTTGTATTCGCAGCCTATAGCCTTGTTCAAAGTCACCAACTTTCCCTCCACAATCAGGACTGACCAGCCGGGCGCGTTAAGAAATGAACACAGAGTGAGCTCATACGCAGGGACTAGGTGGATTTTGTATCACCGCAGGACTGTGAGAGATGGCAAAGACTTCAAAAGGCCTTCATCGCACAGTGGACAACGGATCACAGCCGACAATGATGAAGACTTTTGTGACCTCCTTTAAGGGGCATTTTGTATTTTGGTGAACCGAGTGATATTCGATGGGCACGAGGCGCCACAATGTGGAAAACCCTCTCCTAATTGACACATGATCAAATGTGTCCTCTTATGCGAGTGGTCAAGAATGGCCAAGGAGGGAAATCAGGAGTGAAGGTGTTAAAAAACATCCGTGAGCCGAGCAACACTTCCTCTTTATTTCCACTAGAGGATACTTGCAAAATGTGTCAAAAAAGGAGAAATGAACTCATGAATGCAATCACAGAGTGGCAAAACTGCTAAAAGGCAGTTCACGTCATACACCTAATGAGCTAATTAATCAATGGCTTAATTGATTAATTGCTGCTGTCAGCCCAGTCTCCCGCTACTGTGGGACAAAGGTGGGCACAGAATCAAGGTGGGACTTAATATGCAACACACAGCCTAATGCAAATGATTTACTCAAAAAAGCCTCACCGAGTCTCGAGTCTATTTTTCAGTAGTGTCCTGCATTTGAGATGTTTGAGCAAACTTATTAATGAGTGTTTGGCTTCATGTGAGAGGAAAATGGAGTGTGCAAAGAATACCAAGGCACACGAGGGAGCCACTCAGCATGGCCATTTTGCTGGCAAATAGAATTGAAGAGCTGAAAAGTGCGCATTGAAGCGAGGAGAGGCGCATGCTCGGCATTACACTAAGAGACGTAGACAGAAGCACACTGATTGAGTAATACAGACAAGATGGAGACATCATATTGACTGTGAAGAGACATTTAAGTGGGCTTGGGCAAAACAACATGGCCAAGACCGAGGGTGGAGGCGACTGCCCAAAAAGATGAAACTCACCACCGTGAGCGAGTCCTCCGCAGGTGCAAGGCGCATTGCTACACCACAGCACAATGAGGGGCGGTGGCGGCCGGAGTCGGCCTTCATCCAGCGCTGGATAAGTCGCGGCCACTAACGACGAAGATTAAATGAACCCCTCACCTGTGACCACCCCAGCCGATGCGCGCCATGCCGTACGTGGCCCCCATGATGAAGAAGAGGAGCACGGGGTCCAGCAGGATGTACTGAGACAGTGTGAGGCAGCCCGTGTCTGATACAAAAAAACATAGAAACCCATTATAGCCTTTAACAGACTGCTAGGGCAAGTGCTGTGAACGTGCACCCATGGAGGCCGGCACGGCACACTAAGGGGTGGGTGGACAGTGCCACGCCCCGGCACCAGGTACTCATTTAAGGCTGAGTCGACCAAGGCGAGGCCCAGGACCCAGTGCAGATATTCATCACTGGAAACATCGGTGGCGAATATCTGAACTGGTCCTTGCCCTCCCGATGCGAAGACAAAGATCCCCCATGTAGCCTTAACAGACTGTAGGGGTAAGTGCTGTTAGCGAGCACCTATGAAGGTCGGCACGGCACATGATGGGGTGGGTGGCCAACACCACGCCCGGCCGCCTTTGTCTCCCTAGTGACGATGTTTACTACACACCGCACCAGGTACTCATTTGAGGCTGAGTCGACCTAGGGGAGGCCCAGGACCGGTTCAGATAATCGTCACTGGTTTTGGCCGTGAGCGGGAATCGAACCCGAGACGCCAGGTTCGTAGCGCAGCGGGCTGACCGCTACACTACTGCTCCCCACACGCATAAACACACGCACACATAATGAAACAAGTTGCTGCTATCTGCAAATGCAGCAAAACGTGCTGCCTTTACACACTTTTGCAACTACTCGTATATTTATTTTGAGTTCTAGGTATTTTAGAAAAATGCTTACAATTGTAAATAGGTTTTAGATGGAGCAGGCACTCCTTATTTAGCGAGTAACAGCACATGCCTGGTGTGCTCACAAGTGAAGTCAGTCACCATGTGTGTACTCGTTACCAGGTTGTTTTACTCATTATTTTTAAGTGCCTCATCTCCTGTTTACATACCCGAGCCAATGGTGAATATTCCATATTCCTATGGCGGGGGCGAGTCGATCCTTATGATAACTGTTGTTGACTTGCCCATAAAGTGGTACTGATTGTATCGACCCTGGGAGGGATTATGGGCTGAGTCAACTCGCAACCACTCGCTGCTCGCTCTACAGCTGAGCCACCAGGGCAAATTAAATTGGCTTACATGGATAATTTTACTTACATATTTCCTAAAGTGTGTATGTATGTTGAACGTCTTTCGCACCGTTCATAGCCAAGCATCCTATCCAAGTGTAATGCGGGCGTAAATGGGCGGGGCGGATATGACGATCCGAGAGGGAGGAGTCAGGGTGACGTGGGGGAGAAGTTATAGCGGGGAGACAGGAAGCTATCTGGGTCAGTCGGGGGAGTGAAGGGTGGTGAACACGTTGGGTGGTCGCCGTGCCTCAGCCTGGTGGCTGAGGGGCTCATGACGGCGCCAGCCAGCGGGGTGGAAGAGAGAGTGGAGGATTGAGGTTGGAGATGGCGAGATAGCCACAGAGGCCACGAAGGGCTGAGGTAGGAAGTGGCGAGATAGCCACAGAGGCCACGAAGGGCTGAGGTAGGAAATGGCGAGATAGCCATAGAGGCCACGAAGGGCTGACGTTGGGAGGTGGCGAGATCGCCACGCACGGAGGAACAGGGAGCAGCGATGGAGCTGCTGGGGGAGCAGCCAGAGGGCTGTACCAAGAGCCTGCAGCGGAGCTGCAGGAGCGTGGAAGGCTACGGGAGCGAAGGCAGATGTGGGGCTGCCAGGGAGAGAGTCTCAGGAGGAGTGCCGTGTGGGAAGGAGAACGCGAACCCCAAATAAAGGACACGGAGTCAGCAAGAAGTGTCTGAGTCCTTTTATTACACAAGCATGGACAGGCGGCAGTAGTCGTTGGCAAAACTGTGCTATGCGCCCAGCTACCTGGACTTGATTCCGGGGTATTAAATTCACCGGCGAGCAATATCTGCAACAGCCCTGGGCCCCCACCACCGGCGACAACCAGCAATGACCAGCGTGGTGGGGCCAAACAATGCCCCATGACCGAGACCTTCATACAGCCGTGGATTGATAAAGGGATTATACTTTTCATTACGATTCGCTTCGAAAAAAAGTGAATTGCTTACGATTTGAATTTCTGGGAGGTCTAACTGCACATTATTGCGGGTCATTTGATTACAAAGGTAAAAATGAGGCGTGTCCTGGAAAAAGTCATGGCGACTCACAAAATGTGATTGTCTACAAAATTGAGTCTTGTTGAGGCACCAGTGAAACTATGCGACCATACAACTAACGCGACCTTCAGCAGGAGCGTCTCTGGGAGACGGTGTGTGGCAAGCGGCGAATGACACTTGTAGGTCGGAGTGTGCGTGTTTATAAATGTCAAACGGAGGTTGAAGCAGGGGGTGATGACACTTTAACGAGAGCCTTTTAGGCCTCAATTGCCGTGCGCTGTTCTCATAACTGGACCGAACAAAGGATTCGCTTGAAATTGTAAAAAAAAGGGGGGAGGGGTAAACGTGGCAATTCCAGGATTCCCAGAGGACAATCTGCACAAACAACGACACTGTTGTCATGCAGGCCTTTTGTTGCGAATAAATAGAAAACCCAATGATACGCATCGTCAGTTTTCTATCGCGGCCCGTTTGATTCTTTCATAAAACCGGCGCGATTAAAGACACTCGTGAGCGATTGGCCACACAACCCCTCCAAAGACCCCAAGGGACTGCCCTTAAGTGAAACAGACGGTGGCTATTTTCACAGCCGTGAGCTGAAAAGCTCACAAAGCCACCGGCAGAAGGTCAAAAACACACCCCCGAGAAATTTAGAGACCCGTCTACGTACATTTTTTTTTAACGCAATTTCTGCGAAAAGCGGTAGCCCCTTCGTACGCCCCCGACGGTGGAATTGCAACGCGGCGCGGACCGATGACACTTGATAACGGGGTGCCATTGGCAGGGATTGGAAGCGACTCACCGAAAATGAGGAGCGCCGCGAGGACGACCGAGGCGGAGATGGAGCGCGTCACCTCCAGCATGGTCAGGTGCGCGAAAAATACCGCCAGTGACCCCAGCAGCGCGCAAAACTAGCCGGGCAAATGAGCACACGAAAATATGATGACTATCTTCTCCTACTTATTGAAGCTTTGCTGTTCTGTTTAGCAATTTAATGGACTGTAAATTCAGTGATTACATTTATGGATTTTACAGTCTGATGAATATTTAAGTTGCATATTTATACTGGTAGGAACCTCCTGGTTACACCAGCCCACAGGGGATTATTGTGTCCGTCCGTCGTGCAGGGAGGGGCTGGGTGCGGAGGGGAGGGTGGGAAGGGGCTGGGTGGGGAGGGTGGGGAAGGGCTAGGTGGGGAGGGTGGGGCTGGGTGGGGTGGGGCGGGGCTGGGTGGGGAGGGGCTGATCACCCCGTGGTGCCCTTATAAAACTCAACGCTTAACCTACTCACGCCGGCTTGTGCCCGCCCTCACAGCCGGCCATATTTGCGGAATACACCATGCTGCCGTTGACCCTGGCCATTGACCGAGCAACCCAACGTTCCTACCAGCTCCCTCCGCAGGAATGTGTTAAGGGTCCTGTGTAAATGAGTTATTTATTTAAACAGTGTGCCGTTAAATGGAATCCAGTGTTACCCTCGACTCCAGTTCACATGAGCCACCATATTCACCAAATCTTCTCGGTTAAACACACATTTAGGAAAACGCTGCATGTTGCTGACCCTGAATAGTGTTCAGGTTTGAGTTGTTTTGTTTCGATATTTTTATTTATTTTAGTAGCCGTTCCCGCTTGCCATGAATTTCGCCTTACTCAAGTGCAGCTTCGGGGGGTTTTTGCCGGAAGTGTTTTTTGTGCAGCCATCGGTGACCCAGCTGAGACCATCAACTGTCCGCACTTGAGAACCCGGTGTAACCACAGCTGGCTGCTTCAGATTCAAACCCAGGAACTCGACGGTTCCCGGTTCAGTTCTCTTGACTTCTGAATCAACCGCATACCTCACATGCATTCACATTTTACTGAAAACAAAGCCAGCCAAAGAAAAACTATTTGCATGTGTTGGGCGCTTAAATGCCCCAATGTCTCAAAGCGGCTTACATCGCATCTCAATCATTTCGATATGCAACAGTAGGTTTTTCTTAGCCTAGGGGACCCTTCCTGATGGCAGCTGTCCCTGTGCATCAGAGAGTGACGCAGCACCGACACATGCAAGTCACATTGCTATCGGCCATTCCAATTCGGTAATTTGCAAAGGAACATTTTTACATTTGGTAAATTCGCCCCTTTGGTGACAAGGTCCAGACACCCCGTAAAAGGACAGACATGTCAGCGTAGGACACCGTTGGATGCGGTAATTCTCCGGCCATGAGCCGAGGAACAGAGACACGAGAAGTGGGGTGGGGGTATGGGACACGGCGACTGCGACTACAGCGACTCACGGCTCGCATGCCCAGGTACTCCGCCGCTCCGTACTTGTCACCGGGCTTGGAGAAGGGGAAGGTGCCGTCGTAGCCACTGAGGTGCCCAGCCAGGCCGATCAGCATCTGGTAGGGCAGCGCTCAGTCACAAATTCATACAGCTCGACAAGCTGCAACACCAGATGGTGGGACACCGTTTGAGCAGATCTTGAAGGTTGCGTGTCTACTGTGCAGCAACGGCAGAGGGTATAACACGTCAACAAAGTGTGGTGGCATCAACGGCTTCTGCCTTGATTGCATCCGGATATTTAGCTTGTGGATTTATACGGCGTCTAATTGCAAACGGGTCAACGCATCGCTATTGCAGAACAGTGGGAATATTTACGTACTTAATGAACGAAATAATCAATCAGTCATATACGTGTACAAGTACAACCTAATTTAAATTTCGATTTAAAGCTTTCGTGACTGCCGGGATTCATCTTCTTGGTTCTTTCGGTTAAGTCACGTAGAAGGGAAGTAATTCATTCAGACGCTGTCTCCCCGACAGACCTGGTCTTCACCTGAGGACGGCTGCTTGCGTTGTGGCTGAAACGTCGTGAGAATTATTTTATTATGTTTTATTTTTATTATTTTATTACTTCCCTTCTACGTGACTTGAAGAACAACCTAATTTGTCAATTCACTTCTGGGTGAGGGGGCTAACCCATGTCGAATGGGTCGCTTGAGCTCTGTGACCATACTTCACCACGCTGATCAGCGAGTGTTGGTGGAGGTGGGGACCATAAACGTTGGGACATAATATAGTACAGGGACGCCTCTACTTACAGACGAGTTAGGTTCCAGAGGTCTGTTCGTAAGTCGATTTGTTCTTAAGTCCAACTTTACTCCTGTCGATTCCAAACATGTTGTACAGCATGTACACTAACCACGGCGAATGGCTTTAAAAGTTGTATAATCTCCTGTAGATGTAGATGCCACTGGTTCTTTGTACTACCACCCTCAACACCTTTCACTACTCTTATGCTTCCGAGACATGATGGGGGTTGATAGTGTTTGTGAAAAGCACAGAGAACGTTGTAGTGCACCGCACAGCGACAAACATAACAACCGACAATGGTGGCGGCCCAGGCAGAAGTGCTGGGAATGCTGGGTAATGACACCGAACAACCACCGCCAGCTATTGCGCGGTGGTTGAACTTATGACTCTCGGTCCGAAAAGGCAACTGGACATACGGACAGGTTTGTTCCAATCTCTGAAACTTCGTAAGTCGAATGTCCGTAAGTAGAGGAGTCCCTGTACCACAAAGTGCATTTTGCTGCACTGCCCTCTGCTGACAACTATAGCCCCAACAGCAGCCTACAACATCAAATGCACGGTTGGTCACTCATCCAAGCACCATACAGGTTCACTACAGCTTAGCTTCTGAGCTCTGATGAAATCAGGCCCGTTCAGGATGATATGGTCATAGGCAGAGGCAAAGAGGAAGGTCTTGAGCCTGGCCTTGAACAAGGGTAAGCGCAGAGGATAGCACCCTGCACTCTATATACCTGATCACCGGAGTTTGATTCTCGGCCTCAGCTAACAACAAGCAGCGAGTGATCTCTGAACCGGTCCTAGGTCTTCCACCACCTTCACACCTTCACCGATTTTCACCCAGCAGCGTGATGAATTACAGCCAAACATCTGTCATCACCGATTTGGCATTTGGGAGGACCTTCATCCAGCAATTCGATTTACAAAGAGCTGTACCATTACTGCAGTATTACCACTCTGTTAATGCGTAACAAGCCACCTTGCCCAGTGGAGGGTGGACATCGAAGAAGAACGTGTTGTTGATGTAGTAACTTCCCATCTTGCCAAAGTGAGTCTCGTCCCAACTGGTGGAGGAAAGACACGAGAGGGTTTCAGTAGACGGTCAGATGCACACATCCCCCTGCTGTACATTTTACAATGATCACATGCACACGTCCCCCTGGACGCCATGGTGGCGAAATGGTAACTACCTGACCTGGTATACAGGAAGTCGTGGGTTCAATCCCAACTCTGACACCGGCATATTTAAAACCGAAACAGGAGGATTTCCCCATAACTATGGCTGTTGCCTGATGATGCTGGTTGTAATTACCGACAAAACGTCATACTCAAATTGTACATAGTGTGAGTTTACTCTCCAACACACCGGTGTGCTGAACTAGTAATGAATTAGCACGTTTTGTTTACGTGACAACCCTTACTAACTGGCTGTACTAACTGGCTGCTATAAAAGTCAAAGTGATAAGCCATTTCGTTGAGCTATCATTTGTAGCCAGGTCGCTTCTGAAAAATAACTATATAGCTCAAGGGGCCTTACCTGGTAAAATAATAAACATTATATTTTCTACATTTATAATTAAAAATGCATACAACAAAAGTGAAGCCGTGCATAATTTACTTCGCAATAACGTTTTATTGCTTCCTTGTAGAAAGCTCACGCAAATTTGATGAGCCTGTAAAAACATTACTATTGCCAAATTGGTCTAGACATTTGAATGACAGAAGCCTTTATCCTTCCAATGCCACACCACAATCATGCCAGCCCACACACGAGCCTGAGGATATCAAAGGGCATTGCACAATTCGGCTGGATTGTGGTGCCCCATCCACCACACAGCCCAGGTGTGGCACATTGTCAGCCCCTTAAATGAGCAGCTACACAGGTAACATCTTGAACACTATACCACTGTAAAGGTTGTCATTCGCATATGGTCGTGAATTATTTCATCATGGATTACTGACCCCGATTGCTTATTTGTTGCAAGTGCTTGGAAAAGGACAATTAGCCAAAATGTTCGTGACATCCCCATGAATTGGCATCTGACAATTAATGAGGCTTTACCTTTTCTGGCGTACCTAGAACATATATTATTGAAAGTCCTGCATAGTTCAAATTAGTGTTGTATATGCACACTTAAGACTCTCCAATTTGCGTGTGGATAAATAAACACCTGTTGTGAGCAGGGATGGATGCAATATTTACACACTTTGTATGTTGAACTTATTTTGCACCGTACATAACCAACCGTGCTAATTGGAGGTGTGGGAGAAAGATGACAAACGAATCACCAACAGCAGTTCTAAAGAAATTCGTTTTCAATCTAGATTTTAAAGTGTATAGCTCCAGTGGTTTCCAAATATCAGAGGAAAGAGCATGCCAGATGGCTGAAGAAGCCCATCTGAAAGCGCACGATGCAGGAACCGTCTTTATTTGATGGCTCGCCAAAAGCCGCTGCGAGGATGCGAGGAGTTTGCGTGATGGTCTATGCTCCTTGATGAGATAAGCAAGGTTCTTTAGTTAATTAGTGACAAGCATACATGGCAAGCATGTACTGTAGTGCCACCCCCCTAGCCACCTATAGCAGATCAATCGTTTCATCTCACTTATACCGTGTTTGTCCACCCTGCTGTAGCTGAACATACTTTTCTTTTTGCTTCCTCCATCGCAATCCCCCTCTTGGAATTCCTTCCCATCAACCTCTTCTTCGCGTGTTATAACATCTCAACTTAAATCTATTCCACCTTTGATTGTGTCGTTTGTTGCTCACCACTTGGTGTTTTGAGGGTTTTGGGACCTGTGCTCAGCATCCGTGATTTAAAAAAAACACACTGCCCAGCACGGACAGCCAGGGTGTTCGAGTCCACTTGAAAGTTCCAGTGGTACACCACATTGCTGTGTTCAGTTGGACATCAATAAGTCGAGTGTGACTACTTCTGGTCCATACTGGTGCACGGTACTCGTCTACAGAGTACACAAGGGCCATTGGTGATGTCCGTGGCACCATGTGCTGATGCTCCCCAACTTGTGCCTGCCAGTTGCTTGACCAGGTTGACCCTTGTTTTGGTCTTGGTGGCTACATTGTTCAGGAGATCGTGGAAGGTTGGCGTAAGGTCCAGCTTCACTCCGAGATAGGTTGGAGTGGGGTCGTGTCGCAGAGTGTTGCCACAGAAGGTCACTTTCAGAGTGTGTTTGGTGCTCCTAGAATTATCAAGATAAAGTGCAATGCCTGTTGTTTTGTGCGGATTTAGCTTGAGCCTCCATTTCAAGAAATATTCCCCCATGGTCATTAGGTCTTGGTTCAGAGTGGATTCAATGTTGTTGAAAATGGCTGTTTGCTGTTACCAGGGCAAGGTCACCCGCATATGCAAATTTGCTTGACCCGTTTGGTGGCATGCCACTCGTGTAGACCTTGAAGAGCATTGGCGCGAGTACTGAACCTGTGGCAATCCATTGTTGAGGAACCGGAGTGAGCTGGATCTCTTAGCATCGACCATATCAGGCATATTCTTGAGGCAGGGGAAATGGTCCTTGCGAGCTTCAATGACTGTCTTCGTTCGATGGCCAGCCAAAAGTCGCTTCTGTGAAGATGACCGTAGTTCACGTGATGATTGATGCTCGTTGATGAGATCAGCAAGGTATTGTGGTTCATTTGTGGTAAGCCCTTTGTGTGTAACGAGTGCGACCCTCAATGTATTCGTTCAGCAACCAGAATCCAATGCCGCTCAGGGAGCACCGGGTGGACACGCTTGCAGTACCCGTCACGGCACGTGCCAAAGAATTTGTACACACTGCAGCTTGCAAGTGTTTTTCGCCAGTGGTTAATTTTACAGTTCTCAGCCTCTGGAACGTCAACTCAGACTTATAGATGCGTGTCTGCTGTGGTGTATGCATGGTGCTTTGATTCCATCATTTTGGAGGATTGGATTGGTGGATCACGTAGAGTTTTATCAGAATCCCAACTCACTCGACTGTGGATTATTTAATCTATCTGTGTCGTTCTTTGGTTGCTATGTTCTGGTATGCGTGAGTTTTCACCGGAAACTCCAGTTTCCTCCCGCATACAAACGCACTTAAAATGAGTCTTAGGACTCGGTATAGTTAAGACCTGTCCTGGGAACACTACCTCTTTTGCATCAGTTAAGTGTCAGACATGGTGACATACTTTCACAATCACTACATGGTGTATGAATGCTGAACCGTACGTAGCCAACCGTGCTAATCGGAGGTGCAGGGGAAGGGCAACAAACGAAACACAAAAAAGCTGTTCTAATGAAATACATTTTCAATCTAGATTTAAAAGTGCATAGCTCCAGTGGCCATCTTTGTTCGATGGCCGAGCCAAAAGCCGCTGCTGTGAGGTTGACCAGAGTGTGCGTGATGGTTTATGCCCCTTGGCGAGATCAGCAAGGTATTGTGGTTCATTTGTGGCAAGCACTTCGTGTGTAATAAGTGCATACCGTATTAAGGCATATGGTTTACCCGTATTCTTGAACAGGGAAATTGAGTCTTTCAGGTCCATACGGCGGACAGCCGTTTCAATACGGGACTTTGTCGGATGAACGTTGAGAATTATAAGGGCACGGGAAGACCAATAAGGTCTGAATTGGTCTGTAATAAGGTAGGGCACTGATAAGGGGTGGACAGGTTTGCGAGGGCAACTTTATAATGTATTCGTTCGGCAACCGGAATTCGATGCGGCTCAGCCACCACCGTACCGACAGGATATTGCGGTACCTGTCACTGGCACGTGCCAAAGAATGTTGTTGTACACACCACCGCTTGCCAATTTTGTGTTTGTTTTTTTACCAGACGTCCTGTAGAGTAATTAGTTGCAATAATCGAATAACACGAAAACGGGGTAGGGGGGGAGATCAGAGCGGATACACTCCGCTCACTCGCGGTTATCTTGGCTTGGCCACCCGAGTGTGGAAATTGCAAGTCGCTGCTCTGCATCGACATCAGCAGCCGTACGACGACGAGAACAACAAGAAGCAGCAGCAGAAGATCCGAATAACCGGTGCGGCGCGTGATCAACATCAGGGTTGGGAAGCCTATAAGCGGACAGATTGGCTTGAACTATACCCGAACCTTGATTTGAAGCTTTCGTGACTGCAGGGATTCATACTCTTTGGTTCTTTCGGTAAAGTCACGTAGGTAGAAATTAAAATAAATCACGACGTTTTCGAGCGCAACACAAGCGTCCATCATCAGGTGGGACGCTTGTGTAGCGCCCGAAACGTCGTGATTTATTTTATTTTATACCTACGTGACTTTGCCGAAAGAACCAAAAAGTATAATCTATCGGCTTTAACAGGCGTCCGCTTAACAGCACTTGTCCCAGCAGTCCGCGTGTAGCTTGTAGACAAGGCTGGCTGGCAGCATCGCGGTTTTTTTTCCATCGGGTTTTTCATGGTTTTAATAAAAAAAAAGATCATCTCAGATGGCCCACAATCCGGTAGTATTGCCTGTTAATCCCTATAATTATAGCCGCCCACCAGAGAGAAGACAAACAACACGTCCCGCTACAAGATGATGGTCAAAGGTCACGAGACTCCTGATGGAGTCTTGGGCTGTCCGATGGCAGCGAGTGGCCCGAGCTGTAAAAGTTCACAATGGAGCTGTCCAGCATCGCCACGTACATCGCCACCACGGCCTTCGTTCACTCCGAGCTGAGTAGGAGGAGGAGGAGCAGCCACCCGAGCGTGGAGTCGGTGGAGAAAGTCGTCGTCTTCATCAAGAGCAACATTCACGTCTTCTTCGACGGCGCGGTCGAGATGATCGAACTGAGAGAGGACAGCGAATCCGATGACTCTGCTGCCGCCGCCGCCGATTGACGGCAACTTGACTTGCCGGATTAAAACCATGGTTTTTTTTCCCGACAAAATCGGGTGTTTTTTGAAATAAAAACCAATAACCTGATAAAATTTGCTATTTTAAAAAATCGGTTTATTTTCCTCCACCCTTGCTGGCAGCAGGGACCGTATCCGCTCGCGTGCAAAGGTTGCAAAATAAACGCCCACGGGGGGTGGAGAAGTCGTCGTTGTTGTCTGCGCGTTCGCCTGCGCACGTGCGGCAGAGCGCGTGCTCACAGCGCGCGTGCACACACACACACACTGAGCACGTGCGAATTTACAGTGCGTGCTCGCTTACAGTGCGTGTGCACAAACACACGTGTGAATTTACAGTGCGCGTGCTTACAGTGCGTGTGCACAGACACACGTGTTAATTTACAGTGCGCGCTCGCTTACAGTCTGCGTGCACACACGTGTGAATTTACAGTGCGCGTGCGCACAGACACACGTGTGAATTTACAGTGCGTGCTCGCTTACAGTCTGCACACACACGTGTGAATTTACAGTGCGCTCTGGTTTACAGTGCGCAGGCGACTTCAGTTACCCTTGACAGTGCGTGATACTGCACAGTGCACACACACACACACTGCTGTACGTGTGATGATGATGTGTATGATGATGATGTGTCACACACACACTGCTGTACGTGTGTGATGATGATGTGTGATGATGTGTCCGCACACCCACCACACATGGTCTGGCTCGTCCAGGCGATAGAACCTTGTGGCCGCGGCAAGTAACAGCACGCAGGCCGACACCACGCGCGCCTCTCTCGGCGACACCCGCTGCCCCCCCTCGGCACCAGAGCAAGGCCCGGCCTCTCCCGGTCCCTCTCCTCCTGTCCCTCGCCCTCCACCTCGTCCTCCACCTCTTCCTTCTCGTCGTCCGAGGCGCACTCGCTCGGGTTCGCCACCACCACCGCCGTTGAGATGCGGGGAAGCCGCCGCCTCCGCAGCAGTCGGAGTCGCCGGATCGCTCAACGCTTTACGCCGACGGACCAAAGCGTCTCCTTGCTTGCTCATCGTGGAAGCGAAAGAGCATTCAAGAATGGGCCCCCTCGCGTCTTTTCGCATGGGGCAGGACTGTGGTGCTGCTGGTGGTGGTAGCAGCAGTGGTGGTGTTGGAGATCTGGGAGAACCACATTCCGAATGGACGTTCGTGTACTGAACAGATGGGGGGGGGGGGGTCTTTGAACTCTCACAGCTGTCGTGGAGGTGACGTCAGCGCGGCTCTTCGACTTTACAAAAAAGTTTCAAAAGTCAAGGGGTTGGGTGGTGTCCCTGCCAGAAATCAATCATTATTAACGTCGCTTCGACCACAATATTACAATTAAACGCACCAGTTTCAACAACACGCGCCACGACAAGGATGATCTGCTCTCCCGTGTTATTTATTTTGTTAAACAACTGCAGTGAATGCTCCTTAGCTACACGATCTCTCAGGAAGCCCTCTCGTCGTGGCGAAGTAAACTTTATTGGCATTTCGTGCCCTGAACGTATTGCACCGTCCGCGAGAATATAATTCAGACTTGTATAATAGATCCGTCGTGAATTAGGTTTGGTTAAAACAAATGGCGTACATCAACAAGTTGTTGAAATCCGTGACACAAAGAAACAAATACAGCATTCGTGACACTTGAATACATGAGAACGTGCAGATTAGCAATGCATCGTATGTATACTTTTGCGACAGAATGAGCGTCGTGGAGAATTATACTGTACTTCAGATTTCTTCACGCGTCTGAACGTAAAATAATCTTTTTTTGCTTTACACATCCAATAATCCACTTGGCCCTTAGTGGCATCATTTCAGAAACATTGGTTTCACACAAGCAGTCCCCTGACATTAAGTTATTTTCCAAGCCAGAGTATGTGGCCAAATTAATTAAACCTTAAATGAACTTTAGTGTTGGTTGCCTTTTAAAGTAATGCATGTTGTTACTGGACAACTGTCACAATACACTGGACTACAAAAACACAAAGGGGGTACCCGGATGTGCAAAATAAAATTACGTGCGATATTTAATGCTTTATTCAATTGCTTTTATTCAAGAAATGTACACATTTATTTAAACACGAAAACGATATAATTCTGCAATAAAAAATGACAAAACGCTTCCAATGCCACACACACACAATAAAGCAGAATGCAACAGGAGACACATTTACACCTGAAAACATTTAAAATGCAAGGTTGCTAATTAATGTCATATTTTAAACTAGAATCTGGACTATCTTAACATCAATATTTAAGGTAGAGTGGCTTTTGAGAAGCCATGAATATACCACCACAACAGCACATGGCGAAAATCGGCGAGTATTCCTGCAAGGCTGAATGGCAATGCCAGCACAACGTTTAGGGGCCTTGTAGACATAACTCAATGCGGCATTCAGATGGATGTAAGTATTTAACCTGGAAAGAACAACAGGAGCGAGACAAGATGATCATATTCTTCAGATTATAAGACGATCCAGAAGGTAAGACGCACCACAAACGTGTGCCTGGCCATTGTCAATCGTGATGCAAATCTGGTCACACAGCACTATTGGAAAAGATGCACTGCCAACTTTTGCTTAAATTTTTAAAAAGTACAAAAAACAGACCACAATCCAGGGAATACAGTAGCAGTTCTGCCCAATTCCTATATAATAGGGAGGAATTTCAGATTAAGGACAATTTCGGATATTTTTTCAGATATTGGGGTTATTGACATTGTAATAAATTAACGTGTATTCATGCTTACAAAAGTGACATCGTCGGATGATTCATCACGCAACTTTCTGGAGGAAATGCACGCAAGTTTTGAAACACGCGGCATCCTTTCCGGTGGACATCACACTTTCGGATCGACAACAAAATCAGGAACCAATCCCTACACTACGCCTTCCAGGACCTCTCTTAGCGGCACGAGACACACATCGTTATAGAAGCCCCCCTCATTGTCTCCCCCACCGAAAACGAGCAGCGTGGTAAGGGCCTCGTGCCCCCCAGTCGCTCCTTCCGTTTTGGCATCATCCAGAGACGCCAGTGCGAGGATAGAGTGGCCAGCACGTGGCACCGACCCAAAGGGGTCACTCGTGAGCTGTGTCCACTCGCTCGTATCTGAAGCACACACACACAGTTATTACTCGGCGTGTAAGAATTCAACAATCTCCAATCCACCCCCCGCAATGCAATGAATTGTCAAAATGCGAGATTCAAGGATCTTTACACTTTCATCTCATTTGTATTCAGCTTTATATTCTATCTGGTTTGTTCTATCAAGTTCGTAGCAGTATCCCGAAGGAACATTATAGCATGTACTTTTAATAAGGCATAAATTATCAATTCCCAGGAACAGCGAAGACATGGTTAGCACACTGCACTATGAAGAAGACCTAAGTTTGATTTCCAGTCATGGCTAACATCAGTGGCAAATTATATCAAGAAAAGTCTTGACCTTCACTAACCCATACCTATGTGCAAACCCCCATGACCTATGGTAAGGGGTAGGGCTTCAGTGGATTGACAAAATGCCATGTAAATTATATATCAATTATAGAAGATATATGCATACATCGACAAAAAACTGTGCGAATGTATTTTACATCAACAAATCTTCATGTGTGCAGTTAACTTCCAATGGGCTATATTCATGCGATTTCTAGCACATCTGCTTTGCTATACAAAAACATGGCTCAAAAATTTGGGTTGAAATGCTAAATAAATAAACGGAGAGGTTGCTTACCAACGTTGAAGATGTGCGTGTCCGTGAGAGCACGTTGGCCATTATATCCTCCGTGAATGATCATACGGTTGTCCGAAACAGGGGCAGATGCATGCCAGCTAAGGATAGAAAGGGGTATATGTTTTACACTTACTATAAACCAACTCAAATCTCGTTCCAGATTTTACCACATGTTTGTTTTGGCATGATGTCTGACGTTTCACAACACCTGCCAAACAACACGTAGTACAACCTGAAAACAAATCGGACCTATACAGCACAAACGTGAAAAACGTGAAAAACGTGCGCAGTAGTAATGCTATGATACAATTTACAAAACAGCTTGGGTATAAATAATGACATTTCTTTAATGCAGTAGAGGTGTAACGATATACACCCTCTCCACAGGATCATGTGATGATTGATGTAATTAAAAGGAGTCCAGATTTCATCATAAATTACTTTTTGCGGTAAGTGTAGCGGCCACTAGTGGCTGCAGGATACAAGAATACATTCCGTATAGAAAATAAAATAAAACATTCAAGTTTATATATGCATTGCAAGCTTTATAATCAAATGTAATTAATTCTTTACACCTCAATCATACAGTACTTGTTTTCATAAATACAACGTTAAAAAAGAACATCACTACAATTACATTCTCACCAAGAAGGAGCTTTAGAGACCCTTCAGGGGAAAATTTTGGCCAACTCTTCCGCACTGGCCACGACACCAAAACTTGACGATCAACTAATTGTGGTGTACCCATGTATACCGCTGCGTGGATAGGGACTGGGGCATTTAAGAAACATGCATCATTGGCTCAACTGCCCCGCCGGGAGATTGCATCGAACAGGTGATCTCTGGATTGCAAGTCCGGGTGTGCAAACCATAAACTAACCATGACAGCACAGCAGCATCACCCTTTCACAGTAAATCGTTTTAATTGCTCACCATCTTGGAGAAGGCACGGCTCCCTGGACTTGCACGGGTGCATACTCCATAAACCCTAGAGTGATGATATACAAGTTTGACGGGCAGCAATACCAGTTACGACATGGATTTCATTAAAGCAAAAGCCATTACAAACAATGAACACGCCAACCCCGCCCCCGATTTTAGCACGGTTGAAAATATAAATCACTGGCCCCACGGCAGCATGTTAAACAGCACAGCATGCACACTCCCATCGCTCACCAAGGTCGAGGACATGCAGGTCACTGAAGCACACGGGTGCATCCCAACCACCGAATATCACCAGCTTGTTTTTCAGGAGGATCATCGAGTGTCTGATAAATAACATGCAAAATAAGCTTTTGAGCTTATAAATGATGACAATATGGGAACATCATTGAACTTGTTGTTTACAGTCTCATTCTATAACCAAATCACTTTTTTTTTCAAGGCATCTGTTCATCGGACCGTTAAAGCAAAGCAGAATTCTTGGATAGTGCTTGGACAGGTGATCACCATGCAGTTTGAAATGGGTTAACATGATGAACAGCAGAAGGCAGTCAGTCTTGCAATATCTATTACTGTACTGCTATGCTTATATTCTTAGGTTTTTTCTATGCTTATACAACGGTGTTGCCTTCACCAACTGCATTGGCCAGTGCAAAATATGGTCAAACAACTCCTCATGACCTGCACAGCATGGGAAAAACCCTCATCTGGATAGTGTATTGACACTCATTTATTCATAATGGCCTGCCGGCAATATCAGCTTTAAAGTGCGTACCCGGATCGAGGGCAGGGAAGGTCGCCCACCACAATCGGCTGGTACCAGATGCTGTGCTGCGGATTGAAGATGTACAGTTGGTTGCTGCAGCCGTCCGGCTGTGGGTTGGGTAGTGGGAAAACGCCTCCAAACACAAACAGCTCATGGCGGAAGAGCGTGCTGCTATGGTACGCCAGAGGTGGAACCTTGCCCTTGGCCTGGCTCCAAACAGGATTGGGGAGGGAGACACACACACAGGTCAGCATTGCAATTCATCATCAGCAGCTATATTTTTAACCAGTGCCATATTCTGAAACATGCCCTCAAAGCATCCATGTCCTATAAGCCCATTTGACTGAACTTATGAAATGTCAAGAGTGCAGGGTGCTTTGTAATGCAATTGTACACAGTAATTATATTTTTAGAGACGTGCCTTTTTTCTAATTTTATCCAGATTTAACTTTTGATGTCATGTCATGAGAGAAAAACATCTATTTGAAACTCTCGGGGTGCCGTATTAGAGTAGTCCAAGAAAAGATGTGACAGGCCTGCTTCAAAGATCTCTTATGTGACAGAATGTGCCCGAGGAACTTATCTGATAAAAGGAGTATCACTTCATGTTTTTTTTTTAAGCGAGACGGATTGTGACACTGCGTGACCATGAGGGATAGCGACATGGGGATACCTTAATTCAGCAGTGGATAAAACAAATTGGCTCATAAGTATTAGATGCAATGGTGAGGATGATAAATATGAATAATTATTACAATATATGTGACGATGATAATGCCGATCCAATGTAATTCCAAACACTGCATAGAGCTCACCTCCACCAGTTGCCACTTCCATGTGGCCATGTCCAAGATGTGCATGTCACTGAACCATTTCCCATTTTTGGAGCCTCCAAAAACGTAGATTCGCCGCATCTCCGAGTCGAATGTAGCTGTGTGCCCAATACGGCATTCTGGGGTTTTACCAGTGGCAACCGTCTCCGCTGGTAACCACGAGTTATTCTCTAGCACAACGACAAAAAATCGTACATTTGCATGGATTTTGTAACTTCAAGATGTGCTTGTCCTCTAAAGTAAAAACAACATATAAAGGCACACTACCTGCTATGACACATGGACCAGAAATATGGACATTAAATAATTTCATCGTCTTGGTTCTTTCGGTAAAGTCACGTAGAAGGAAAATAATAAATAATAAATAATAAAAATAAAACATTATATTCCTGCAGTCACGAAAACTTTAAATGGAAAAATTTTATAATTTATTTTAACAAAAGTGGATAAGTTTCAATAAAGGAACAAGTGATAAGAGAGAACACACAGGTTAAATACATCGGTTAGTCACTCCCTAATGTAGATGGGTACAGGCAGACAGAGTTAAGGCTTTCAACCTAAGTTGAAATGCATAAGGCAGACATGATTATTTTATGTCAGAATGAGCCATTGGAATTTGGTTCTCCTTATTACCCAACTACTCTGTTCAAAACAATTACTGAATCAGGACCAATCTTAAAAATAGAAAAACATCAAACCACATTTTTGCTGTCCCTAGGATGAAAATTAAAATTTAGTACTTAAACTGAGAAGTATCTCAAAGTGCACGACAAAAAACCATTTCAAAGGGAAACAGGGAGAACAATAAAAGGATAACAGAATTAGACAATTCGGAAGAAACAAAAAAAACAGCTGCATACCCAACCTAAAACCCTCGGACAACTACAATGAAAACAGAAATATAAATCAAAATGTTCAAAAATGAAACTTGCAACAAAGTCATACAACAAGTTTGGGTGTATAAAATGTGAAAAAAACATGTGATCCATACAAATCCATCACAAAGGTAAAATGTACACAAACGTAGGTGCTCTTAACATGAATTACAGTCCTTACCAATGTGCAATTTCCAAATGGGGTCCTTGCAAAAAGTCATGCGGTGGCCCTGTCCTCCAATGAGGATGACTGTTTGTGGGTCGATGAGGCACAGGCTGTGGCCCCAGCGTGCGCTCGGCAGGGCTGCAGTGGAGTGAGGGCATGGCATGGCAGCGCTCCGTCAAATCACACGTGGGAAATACAAACGTGCACAAAGACCAAAGCGCTTTGCTCATCTCTACAAATGGTTCTAAGAGAAATTATTCGGTCATCACTTGCAATTCTAAATCGTTTTACTTATATATTTTTTTGACAACGGAATAAAAGTTTCAGCACAATCCACCGTAGTAATGGCAGTATGATACAGTACAAAAGCAGTTAATGAACAAACAGCACTTGAAACAAATTTCATTTTTCGCAAGTTAGTTATGCTACAGGAAACAGGTTCATACTTCTACTAGAAGGTCTTTAAAATATATCCTACTAGACCATTCTCGCATCGCCACAGCAAAAATTACTCTGGCAGTATGCATCTCTGCACCACTGGACTTGCAAATCCGTTTAAAAATCAAATACACGACACTCGTTTACCGACCATTTTCTTCGCTTTTCTTTTGAAGCTGCTGGGCCATTTTCTTGACGCTCTTGCCCGCTGGCTTCTTCTCATCCCTTGCGTCTTTGACGCTCTTCTCAAAACTCCCCTCGGGAGTTGTGCTGCCGAAGCCGGGGGAATCACCGGGGCTGGCACTCGTGGAGCAGAAGGTCTCGCCGGGCGTGGAGCTCACGGGGCTGCCCGCCTGGTGCAGCTTGCGACAGATGCGCGACTGCTTGGCGATGGGGAGGCTGCCTGGAGGCGTGTCAGGGCCATCTTCTGTGGACTGGTGACTGCGCTTGCGCTGCCTGTGATTCCCCTTCATAGACTCCACCTTTGTCGCCAAAATGGAGACCTACACGTTGAGAAAGAAGTGTGTAAATTTCGATTTAAAGCTTTCGTGACTGCAGGGATTCATCTTCTTGGTTCTTTCGGTAAAGTCACGTAGAAGGGAAATAATAAAATAATAAAAAGAAAACATAATAAAATTATTCTCACGACGTTTCGGCCACAACGCAAGCAGCCGTCCTCAGGTGAAGAACAGGTCTGTCGGGAAGACAGCGTCTATTTAAGCTGGGTTGGAGGGGGAAGAGCGCCTTGACAAAATAATTTGCATATCAAGAGGAATTTAGCATATTTATGGGAAATGCAGATATGAGATTAGTACTACTTGTGAAATGCGTAGGAGGTGGGCGGGGGGTTTCAAAGTCATATTATGCCCGTGCATTATGCAGGATTAGCAGCATCAAAGGGAGGGGATAGGGGTAGCATTAATAAAGGGAAGGAATGTTAATAGTATGGAGCTGCAGTAACTAAACCACCACGTAAAAAAGAAGTGTGTGTATATATTTAGTCGATGCACCCCGCGGCAGGGAACCCCTCCTGGAAGTTGTCCCTGCGAGGCATACAGTGAATGCAGCACTGGCCAGCAACTGGGCATTAGCCAACCAGTCGTGGATGATAATTGCCATATGGCGTCCAAAATAAGGTGATTTGCAAGTAATCTCTCAATTGCTTGTCAATTTTACCTTGACAAAATCACCAGGAATGTGGCTAAACTTGTTGTACATCAGAAACCGAGCAGGGTTGAGCCTGAATAGTGCTTGAATGGGTGACCACCATTCACAGCACACATCAAGTTGCCATAGCCAAATGGGGAACAAAGTGGTGGACAGCAAATGCCATTATCCAGCAGTGGATTGGTAAAATAATTGTACATGTCATATATGTGTATGATAATTATTTCAACAAAAACCATGCATAGAATAGCATGAGAATTGACTGATGATGTATGCAAGGTATATGAAAATGATGCACTTATGTTACATGTAGGATAATGGAGTCAACAAAGGGAAAGTTAACTATTACAAACCTAATATACATTAGAATTTGTAGTGTTCCCGCTAAAATAAGCCAAGACCAAAAATGAATGTGTTCAGCCACTGCATTCCTTATACAAAGTAGAATTTAATAAAATCCAACCAATATTAGCTTCCAAAGGGAATGACTACAAAATAAAGGCGCATTGTGATACAAATAAGTTGTTATTAGGCGAATTAAATTTCAATCAAACATTCCCTAAAAAGAAAAAATACATTTCCATCTGCTAAAATTTCGAGATCAAACCTGAAAGGCAAATCAACAAGAATGTTTCAGACAAACCTTTGGAGAAACCTCAACGGGTGAAGAGACCTCAGCTTCTGAAGGGTCTTCGGCCGATTCTCTCTCTATGGAAGTTTGGCCACCCACTGACATGAAGAACGAGCGAAGGGACGCTGTGGAACTCCTCTTGCACCCGCCTAGGCCCTGCCTCTTGTTCACCACCTACAGAAAAAAATTATCAGTTCCTTCATTTGAACCAGAACATGAGTCATTGATATATTGCTACACGTAAAGCAACATGAACAAATCACCCTTAATGAACCAGATTTCATCAGTTGATGCATAGAAGATGCTATAGGCTGCAGTGAATAGCAGAGGGGAGTGGGGTAAATCAAGTGTTGTACTGTACTTCTGTACAATTGGTGGATTGTATAGGTAACTATTCATATGCCAATTTAAAAACTGGTCATCAGGAATAAAAAAAAAATATATTATTCTCATCAGACCCCAAGGTGTCAAGTGCAGTCTCTAGCTCTCATTATCCACTGAATCTCTCTAGCCTATGTTCCATGAAGAAGGGACATTGCACAAAACGTCTCCAACTATATATTTTTCCTTTTAAGTCAGTGATATTATTAAAGGCAGTGGTATTGACGAATGTGTTTTTTTATTTGTGCTTGTGCACCACCGCCAATGCAGCATCACCAAATGATTTGTTTACTACAAGTACAGGGGTGTGCAATAAAACACTGCAAGAAGACACCAAAAACTATTTTTTTACAATAACAAATTTAATTGTCCTTTGCATTGTGTTTTCGGGTTGTAAAGCGTGTTGTCTGGTATTATGTCCAACCCTAACCCTAAGCTTCTTTGGGAACTTTATGAACGGACAAAAGCTTACAGCAAATGGAGCATAGTCAGACTTCATGCCAGACAACACGTGGTATAACCCAAAAACAAAGTTGTAGAGCACAATCGCAAAGACCCATGCTGTAGCAATTCTCTGCACGATACACAAACCCCACATCGCCCACGGGCAAGATGACCAGCGCGGACGTACCCGTCCATCCACGGTGAGCACCAGTTTTGCGAATTGTCCGAATTCAGCCTGCGTTTCAGCAGCCTCCAAAAATTCGTCCGTCCACTCGCCCTCCCACACCAGACTCCTGAGCATAGAACAAGGGGAATTAAAAATAAGCTTACCACGCCATCAGTGCATCAGAGTCTATGAACACATATAGATATTTTTATAAATCTTTACTGATAGACGATGAGGGGCCCCCTTTCCATGCTGTTTGGGCTGTAGCGGATTATTTTCCATACTTCACACACTGGTCAGTGCGTGGTGATTAAATCAAGGACATAAATGGCGGTGTGTAAATACAGGATCGGTGCAATAATGATTTTTATGCACTGCTCTCCATCTGTACCACTTTTTTTATTGCTTTAATTTATATTTATTCAACTGGGAAGTACTTTATATATACACAAGTTGGTCATTGAATGGAAGTTTTTTTCCCACAAGAAATCCGATTCACGCAATGACTCCACGTATTAATGAGAAAATAAATTATGCTAGTCAGTGCAAATTGGTAAAGCTGGGAGAACAGAGACATGGGGAGCAATGAAGCGTGATCTAAGAAGGAATTTTGATAAACTATCATCTGCTGCCCACAACACATTCCGATCCATTTACGTCTCAATGATGCTTGATCGCTTCGTTGCTCAGCAGCCCCCAAAACCACAGCACACGTATCCATTCGTTAGGCTGTTGTTGTGGGAACCCTCTCTCTCTCACCTGTTCTCTGCAGACAAGGTGCCCAGGGGCTGTGTTTTGACGGCTCCAGGCACCCTCATCTCTGCACTCACGAAGCTGCCTGCCGAGTAGGCGCCCCACGCTCCCCGCGTGAACACCACCAGGTGAGCGGGCAGGGGCAGTGGCACGGCCAGCGAAAAGCAAAGACGGTCCGACTTGCTGCACCCAACATAAGTGGTAGAAACACGCAACTTATAAAGGTCACACAAGGCCACCGGTACGTGGCGAAAACTATTATTGTAATTGGCGTGTTCAATGTACAATAAGTATTCCCCCTATTGTTATCATCAGCCATGGTCTATCCACGGCCATATTTCTCCATGATCTCGCCATGCAATCACAGTAGGTCCCAGTGGACGTGTAAAAAAACCAGGTTGATTATATTAAATAGTTTTATATCCGTGGCGTGACAAGACATTTTCTTTATTCACGTGCTAATTTCTTTAGCAACCTGTTTATTAATTATTATAGGGTTTATGCTGTACCACGTTAGTATTGTATACCTTTTGGGACTCAAATCTCCCTTGACAAAGCACTGTTAAGTGGGACCTCTCCTGGTTCTAAGGCTGGTCATATAACAGGGCCCGTAGACACGGGGCAGGTGGGGGACATTTAGTTTGTTGTCCTTCCCCCACACCACCGACGTAGGGTGCTAAAGAAGTTCAACATGTACAGTACATACATTTACCCCGGGGAATTCTAAATCCGTCGGAGCCTCATCCTATAATTTCGCAGGCCATGTTGATACTATAGATGGGGTTAAGCGGTGGCATAATGATTAGGAAATTGTGCTATAGACCCGCAAAACCCAAAGGTATAAGATTCCAGACCACGGCTCATAATCAGTGGCGAACGATATCTGAAGCGATTCCAGACTCCTCATTCACAAAAGCCGCACTAACCAGCGTGGTGAAGTATGGTCAAACAATCCATTAGAACGGGAAGCCTCGAGGGACAAAGGGCCATCACGTTCATATATAGTATATAATACAAACTACAATATATAATACAAACTGCAGTATAAACAGCAAATCGCAATCGTCTTCATACAAAAAAACGCGGGAAAACGAATCCCAGTGGCCCCCAATGTAACCAACGTGTACTACCGACCTGATGGCTTGCCTGGGCGGATCCTTCAGATTCCACAGGACGTAGATTTCGAGCTTCCCCATGTTCGCGAGCGAAGTTAGCGGTAGCAAATTCTGAGTTTAAACAACAAGAAGAATATTAATAATAATAAACACGACGCACATGCGGAACTGATGCGCCACCGCTGAACTTGCGAAAATGAGATTTCGCGCCAAATAACCTCTCGCGCGCTCCCATTGGCTGGAGCGGTCTCTTCCAATTCGCGAATCAGAACGTTGCTATGCAAATTTTTTCCTCATTGCTTCTGTCTGACAAGGGGACTCGCCGGGTAGGACACAGATGTCGCGGTTTTCATTGTGTTTCAAATGAGCAGAGGCGAAATAGATATTCAACTTCAGTTTGTCAAAAGTGGCTTAATTTCTCTGGGTTCTGAAAACTTGATCAGACTTCAGTTGTTTAATTCACGCGCGTGGCTTAACAATGGACGCCAAGTGTGCCTAATTTATCCATTCATCGTTAACATGTGACACTTTGTGTAAATATTACACCAAAAAAGAGCTACAGGTTGCACAACAATTGGCTGGAAATACCTGCCTTATCAGATTTCAAATTCACGCAATCACGCTCGAGCTCTCCGAAACAACGTATTAAACTAGATAATAATATCTACGTGACTTTTCCGTAAGACCCAAAGAGCATATATAATAATAGCCTAGATTATCAGAACCCAAGTGTACAATGCTCCCAATGCTTTGTACGTGTTGCGTATAATTTTCACACGAAACTAAATTTTCCATGAATCTATGACCAACCTGAAGCGACATTTCCACCAGGCAACCCATCAGCATTGGGCTTCGAAAGTAGCATCCGGTACAATAAAGTGTTTCAGGATTTACCAGAGGTGGGACAAAGTCATTGTTATGCAAGTCCAAGTCGAATCTGAAGTCATCAAATTCATGACTCGAGTCTGACTCGAGTCCAAGTCACATGACTCGAGTCCACACCTCTGGGATTTACCTATGTAAACCAATGCGGCTGTTATAAAACATTGGTCCAGGACTGCTATAGGGCTCTGATGAATCTGATAGTCATTCTATTTTATGGTGGCACTGTGGTTCATTCACGGCTTAACGCATTGCAATGCAAAACCTGAGTTAGATTTTAGTCACGGCTAACACCAGTGGCATTATATATGAACCACATTAAATCCACACCGACCAGTCTGATGGGAGTTATGGATAGTCAAACAACGCCCTTAACCGACACGGCATGGGAAATGTTGACAAAGAGCTGTAACATTATAATTGTTATTATACAGCATTGTGATTAATCAGTATATCACGATAGATGATGCTGACCTGACATTTCCAACTTTTGCCATCGAGATTATAGTCCTTTTTGAATGTGCTGCTTGTTAAATAAAGGAGTGTAGACGGGGCACATGGGAGTGCTCTTGCAAATTTGGTAATCCAGCTGTATTTAACAACCATTACTATAGATGAGACGCTAAAAGGTCAAAACCAGTCCAGAATGTGCTTGCTTAAACAAAGGCTGCTTCACAGTCTGGAAATCCAAGAGGCTGGTGGGATAAATAATGTATACGCATTGTTTGGAGCTAAAATGTCTGCTTATAGTTGCTGGACATGGCTTTTATTTTGCTCACACGTGTATCGAGCCCAAAACTGCGGCCTAAAGTTTTAAAGTCATAACTGTGGACATAATCAAGCTGTTGGAATCAACTTCACAGACCCCATAGTACTAAATTTGAAGTTTTCGTGACTGCAAGGATCCATATACCTTTTGGTTCTTTCGGTAAAGTCACGTAGGTGAAAATAAAAAAATAAGATAAAATAAAAAGTTTAGTTATTTTTTATTTTATCTTATTATTATTTTTATTTTCACCTACGTGACTTTACCGAAAGAACCAAAGAGTATAGACCCCATAGTATTTAAGCAACACGAAGAATCGATTCCTAAATTAAATTCCAAGCACGTATAGCGAGAATCGATTCGCTGTGGGCGACCTTTGTGTAAGGGGGTGGGGCCGTCGTACCAGACGAGGGTCAACCGCGATGACGTCACCGACATTCCTGAGAAAATAACACCGCCCCAATACGGGGTGACGTCAGCGATTTAAAACGCGGTGACGTCATCACGCACACGTAAAAAAAACATCTACATCAACGTGAAAATATTATGCTTTCGTGCATAACAGTGCCCTTAGAAGCGAAAATATAATACGTGATGTTTCGGGTAACGTCCCTTTTGCGTGGCACATTAAAAAAAATAAAAAATAACGTGATGACGTAGCCGCGCGAACGTGCCGAACCCTTCAAACGTAAACGCGATTGCAAGTAGCCCCGCCCACCCTACGTGGTGACGTCAGCGCGCGTGCGTCGCCCCGCCCCCCGCCGTGATGTCGTCACACGCCGCCGTGACGTCACGCGAGCGTCTCCCTAGCGCGGCGGTTTCGCGAGCGGCCATTTTCCTTTTTCGTTTGAGCGGCGGCGGCGGCGGAAGGCGGCGAAGGAGACGAAGGAGACGAAGACGACGGAGAGAGACGAGCCCCCGGTGAGTCGAGACTGCCCCGACGCGGCGCGCTCGAACAAGCGACGTTCTACGATATTTTTCGTACACACACAAAAATTAAAATCGACGCGGTTTTGTTCTGTTTTCCGTGCGTTAAAGACGGTTTCGGGGGGTGGTGGTGGTTGTTGTTTTTTTGGCGTCGTTTTGTCGCGAGGTTTTTTTTATTGTCGCCGTGAGGGGAGGGGGGGTTTGTGGGTTCGGTCCGGCCATTTGTCGTCGCTCGCCTTCACGGTCGTTTGCGTGTTCGTGTTGTTTTCGTCGTGGATCCCGCTCTGATAGTTGCGGCTGTTTTGTTATCATTTTCTATTACATTTCTTGGAATTGTTTTGTTGGTGGGAGCACGTGTGACGAGGAGGAGGAGGGAGGCGAGACGAGCGAGGCTGGGTGAAAACCCCCTCCTTTTTCCCCACTACAACACCCGCCCACGTTACTCGCCTCCCCCTCCCCCTCCCCCCTTTCTAGCCATTCGTCCCCCCGTCAAGCCCCCCCCCCCCGTCAAGGCCCCCCCCGTCAAGGCCCCCCCCCCGTCAAGGCCCCCCCCCCCCCGTCAAGGCCCCCCCCCGTCAAGGCCCCTCATCGTCAAGCCCACCCCCCCACCGTCAAGGCCCCCCCCCCGTCAAGCCCCCCCCCCCGTCAAGGCCCCCCCCCCGTCAAGGCCCCCCCCCGTCAAGCCCCCCCCCCCCGTCAAGCCCCCCCCCCCGTCAAGCCCCCCCCCCCCCGTCAAGCCCCCCCCCCCCGTCAAGGCCCCTCATCGTCAAGCCCACCCCCCCACCGTCAAGGCCCCCCCCCGTCAAGGCCCCCCCCCCCCCGTCAAGGCCCCCCCCCCCGTCAAGGCCCCCCCCCCCGTCAAGGCCCCCCCCCCCCGTCAAGGCCCCCCCCCCGTCAAGGCCCCCCCCGTCAAGGCTTCTTTCCCCTCCAGTCCCCCTCCAGTTCCCTCCCTCTCCTGACCCCCCTCCTGACCCCCCTCCTGACAACCCTTCCTGACCCCCCCCCCGCCTGACCCCGCGCCTGATCCCCTCCCCCGCCTGATCCCCTCCCCCTCCTGACCCCCTTTATCCGCCCCCATCCAGACCCCACCCATCATCCCCTCCCTCCAACCCCCTCTTCCCCCCTCCTGCTACACCTCCATAACCCTCCCACGTTGCGTCACGTTCAATGACGCCGTTGACTTTGCGTGACGTCAAAATGCGTTTGCGAACAGAAAAAAAGATCGGCGCGATGACGTCATCATCGCCCGTCGACTAACCGCGTGCGTGGTGACGTCATCGCGTCTACGTGCCCGGGCAGTCGGTACTTAAGGAAGGCGCCGCTTTGGAATTGGGACGCGGGAGAGAGATCTCGAGGTTCGCTTTATTTGGCTTCGTGTTACCGCGCGTGCTGCTCCACCCACCGGCGGTCGAGGCTTTCGTTGTCGGCACGAGCGAAGGAGGCGAGAGAGGTGCGTTGCGGCGGGGTTTTTGTAGGCCTAAGAACGATTCGTGTCGCTTGGTTCGTGTGGGCCATGAGGAAGTTGAGCGTTTTTTTTTTAAGTGCGTGGTTTGTGGTGATGCGGGACGGATGTACTAGATGCCTAGGCCGCGTGCCGCCAATTTATCGATGTAAATCGGTGATTGCTCTCGTGGTTATTGAGTAAGCGATTATGTTCGCTTTTTTCCGAAGGTTATTGTAATGAAGGAGACGATAAAGTGAAACAAAACAGACGAAACGTTACGAACAAATTCTATTTATTTCAGTGTTTTGTGAAAGTTTCGTTTGTGTGTCGCCATTTATTTCACCGTCTCGTGTGTAGCGGCCTATTGTCTCGTTCTTGGGTTTTTTTTATTCGCTTAACTTTTTTGGCGCGAATTTGTCGTTTGTCTCGTGCCCTTCGCATTTGTACTTGATTACGTGTTCTCAATATACATAGCGGGTAATGCCGTAATCGTCGCCTAATTAACGTCCTCGGCGTTAATTGAGCTCCGTAGGCTCTCCCCGCGGGCCCCCGTCGACGCGTTCGGGTTTGTGCGGCTTCATCCCCCAATGGTCGGTGTGGGTGGGTTACGACTCCATGTAAATATCTCTTTTTTCCCCTCTCTTTCTCCCTGACAACGTTGTCGGTTTTAGAACCCGATTAAATATATATCCGTGCCAATAACGGCACACACCTGTGCCTCCATACGCTTGGGCGATAGATTAATCGCGGCAAGGTGCTGCTGGGCGGGAGAGGCCTCCGTTGAGCCTGGCAGTGGGAAACAAAGGGCAACGTGGCTGCACTGAGCAGAGCAAAGTGTGAAGCTCTTGCCGGGCTCCAACTCCTTCCAGCTGTTCTATTTCTCGTCGTCGCCCAACGGTCTTCCCCTAAGCTGTAAGCCTCCAGCAAAGGGGGCAAGGTTATTTCCTTCAATGCCCCCTTAATCGTCTTATGTTTCGGTCGACGTTGGTAAAGCGTGTCGGTATTGGATGTTGCCATAGTAGCTATCTGTGAAAAAGTCTTAAGATACTGATTCAATGAGTTTTTCTCCCTGTGGCTTTCTCAGTAATAAAGCAAACTTTAATTGTATTGAATTTAATCTACCTAGCTTTTCCAATGACATGTTCTACTCGGGTAAACGGTATCCAAGCTATATATACACATGACTGTACTAGCTATAATCATAACACCTATTTAAACTGTAAATCGTGTTTAGGCAA